AAATATTTCAACCTTATAATGGTTGCGTTTTTAAAAATCCATTTGTTTGAGAAACGATCAGCTGAGGCGTAGTATTGCAAATCCGTGTAAGATTCCGTGGTTCGAACTAGTCGAGTCCGCTTATCCCGTCTTTTTAATCTCTGACCGTCATGAATTAGGAACAAACGGCACCAGAAAGTCTGAGCCTTGCAATGATCTCTTTTCATTTCATTTTTCATTTTTCACGATTTCTTATTTTCTGACCTGCTTGGTTTTTTTATGATTGACCGTTGACGCGGAGAGCACTGGGACGGGTTAGAATACACTTCTAACGCTTGTGCCGTCGTTCAAAGGCACAAATTGGAAGTTCTCTTTGTACTGTTGCAAAAATATTCATATTGAATGTTATGTAATGCGCAGATATAATTGCATAGGAACTATGATGTGGTTTCACGAAACTAGTTACTTTAAATGGTCTTGATCTAAATTTCCGCAACAATGCCTACCCCTGATCTTGCTTACAATGGACCCGGTAGGGCCATTTTTCTGAAAAGAGGCCGCTCTTTGATATGAGGCGGCCAAGCTTGATTCTCGGCAGCAATGAGAATTGGACGGTGGCCGAAAAGAGTACTGTGCTTTCTTATTTAGTTGTTTTGTAACTGGTTTAAAATCAACAATAAACACAAACGAAGATCATCCCATGTTGGTGGAAAACTAAGCTTTATTCTCGATAAGGGTAACATTTATTTTCCTTGACGAGACCAGGGGCGGATCCAGAGCAAATTTGAAGGAGGGGCAGTCGGTAGTGGGGGCGCTGAAAAATTTCAAAAATTGGTGACGAGGGTACGCTGTATACAACAATTTCAGATCCATTTTCAAAATAAACAACATAACTTTCATGTAATCCTTGAAGCAAATTAACGTATCGGTCTCAGAAACTTTTTCACCTGATTCTCATTCTTCAAAAGGGGCGCACAATTTCCAAAAAAGGGACGCACAATTTTCAAAAAAGGGGCGCCAGACTAGCTCCAACTCGTTGAAGGAGGGGCAACTGCCCCGAGTTGCCCCCCCCCCTTAAATCCGCCACTGGACGAGACAGGGCTTGTGGAAGAAAAAGCTATTTGCATGGTTTTGTGATTTAAACTTTTAATATTGCTAAGATACAGTAAGTTTTCACTTTTTGAGAATTGTTACGGTACAAAACAGTGTAATGGAAAAATGCAGCGAATTCGCATTAATACGTTTGTCCAAAACCTCACAACGCCGTTCATTTGTGCAACAGACAGGAACTGATTTGACACGGACATTTGCTGTTTCTCTCAAAGACCCTATTGCGCAACGCAACACTATGCAGGACATGTTTCGGCTGCAACGTCACCTATCGGCTGTCACTCTTATTTTGGCGCAATATCCGATTACCCCCTGTCTGAGGGTCAAGCAAGACAGTATTTGTAGACATCTGATTGCTAAAAAGGCGTTATTGTTTTGGAAGAGCCCGCTTAGATAAATAATGGCTCTGTTCAATGTCCGGTTCGTTTGGTTTCCCATTACATTTTCGTGGTCGAATGTGATTAGCTTCGTGTCCCGAACTAACGCTCAGAATCAAACACTTGCAATGAGACCCAGGCTTACGTTGTTGGCAAAGGGCATTGTTGGAAGCCAAGTTGATTGATAATCATGGTTAGGACTGCACACGTTAGCAAGGTGTAAATAAAGGAGCTGTTATCTCAGATAACCTGTTTTGGTAGTTAAGAGCTCTCGATTGGAAACTGAATGCGATGCGGGAGAAATTTTTGCGCAAAACAAAGCCAGTTCGAATAGTTATTACACAAAATAATCACATTTCTGTGTCTCCTGAGATGCTGTCCGCCGTCTCGACGATACCAGAGGACCTGGAGTCTGAAGGTAAAATATCTGGAGGGAACAATACACGTAAAAGAAATCAGGTGTTTCTAGGACAACGAAAGAAGAGCAAGACGGAACCAGCAATCGTTTTATCACAATACAGGAAGAAACAACGTGATAAGATTGAACAGGCTAAATCGCCACAAACCAATAAGAAATGGTTTCAAAATAAGAAAGTACGCGATTCAACATTCGCCTCGCCAATGATGGCGCGATTTGGAGCTTTTCCCGGCGAAGCTGAGTCTGTGGTGATAGCTGGCACCATCGGATCAATTGCTTCGTTTTCGGGATCGCAGCTCTTCTCCACGATGGTGGACGATGCCGAAAAAGTTGACGTCAACATTTTTAATAACTTTGAGTTCCCAATACGGAACTTGGTCTTCGAGGGTGGCGGCAACAAAGGCATGGCTTACGTCGGGGCTTTACAGGTACCATGACAATTTCTTGTTGACTGACCCTTTTCTGACATCTCATCATGCTTTTTGTTTCCTTGTTTTTAAAAATACATTTCACACCATTTGGAAATTGTTATAAACATTAAAAGCTGTCAGCCGCTTTCTATGCCTGCAACAGGCTGCGAACGCATGGGATTGTGGATCGAGCCCCTTTGGATAATTAGACCAACCTTTTTTAGACGCATTTCATTCGAAATAGTTGCTTTGGATTTATTGACATGGCACTTTGATTAAAAACCTGCTTTTTCATATAACTGTTATTCGGCAAATGTATATAGATGTTTCAAATATCTTTCGACTGGTACCGTATATCTTATTAAGACATGATTGATTTTCTAATTTTATAGTTCATTAGGCAATTATGTGTACCCGAGTTAAAATATCTATTCTCCTAGTTGAGCAGGGTTTTTTAACAAATATTGCATATTGCGATTTGATTAAATTCCCCAGTGTTAAAATTCAGCGCGACTTCATCCTGAAAGAGAGCTGGCAGTTATTAAATCGTATGTAATTATTGTCTTTATTTGTACGGAAAAGAACGACGGGCACTTAATTATAATTTGCTAATTACCTTAATTTACAATTTCCAGCCAGCCTTTATAGGTGAAGGTGATCCGCATGTAAACAGAACCGAAGTGCAAGCAAAAGGTTGAGATTGATCGATGCAGCTATCAGTTTACACAGATCTTGATCTACCCCCATTGGTCTTTGATATGACACCTTTTCGTGTCAAACAAATACACATTTTTAAATACGATCACACTTTTTAAGAACACCGATACTCAATTTTCCAAAAAAAGAACAGCGTTAGAACAAGGCAGCCTTAGAAAAAAAAACCTTTTTATATATTTCTTTTGTGTTACCAAAAAAGAACAGATTTTATCAGCTAATAAGCCGTGCTACTAGAATTGGCACACAAAACTGCTATTTCGCTGTCTTAGAAGCAGTTGATGGCATGTTAAAATAGCAAAATCAATGTTGAAATAAAAAACATTAAATTATCCAAAAATTAAGAACATCTGGCCTCGGGTGAAATGATCTGGTGCTTATAACATAAGAATGTATCGATACAGAACCATAGTTGTTCAAATGTGATTTTTTTAAGCATTGTCCAAAGGCATGTAACGACCTTCTCGTGACGTTTTGAAGGAGCTTCAACACTACTGAGTAGACGGAGAAGTAATTTATCATTCGGGGTTGGCATTAGTTCAGATAAATCACAGTTTCGTCTTACATAAATGAGTGTGATTTTCCCTCTGTTTGATTCATATGACAACGGATAGCATTTTACGTTGTTATTCTAGAATTACCAATTGCTAAGGAGGAGAAATTTAAAATTGATCAATGGATTTAAGTTAGTTGGATATCAGAATGTTTAAATCCTGCTTCTTTTGTGTTTTCAATGGCCTAAAATTTTTTAGTGCAGTGCAGAGCAGTTTTGTTTCCAATTAATCAAACAAAATCTGTTTATATTTGCACATGCTTTTCCACCATATTGAATATTTCGGTACACTCGGATTTACTACCTTTTGTTACTCTCATGCATTCAATTAAAATGCTGGTCGCCAAAGGAAGCTCGTGTGGTGCAAATAATTAACTTTTTTCTATACATCTTATGTTATCGTTGCGAAATGTATCTTTTTCAATCGAATATTTTTCTTGCCTCGTGACCAGAAGCATCACCATCGTCTTCATCAATTTATCTGCTATTAAAGAAAGAATCCGTTCTCACAATGATAGTTTTCCTTTGAAGTTTTCAAATTTCTATCCGATTCCCTTTGCAGAATGCGATTGAAAAATTTGCATTCCTTTTTTTTAAGATATCGCTTGAAAGCGAATGTTTTTTAGTTTTATTTGATATTTTCTTTTCTTATTTTCGCATTCTCAGTTTTTGTTTGCTTACATTCATGATGTGCACCATTTCTTGTGTAGTGAGAAAACCTTTGCACTTATTGTGCTGACACTGGTGGGCCAATGCACGTTTCAAAACATGCCTTCCTTAAAATATGCGCCATAAAATTCTGTCCTTTGTCACCAATTGTCACTTTAACTGATGGGTTCATTGAGCGTCTGTGCTTAACGTAATTCGCTGGATGAAAAGTTCAGAGGCTCTGAAAAGTATTTCCTATATGTGAAAAGGGTCTCCGATGCAATTTGGAAAGTAGAGGGCCAGTGCCAAATTAAAGACCCATAGCAAAAGGTTTTGCTAAAATGCTCTTTTTTTCCGAAAAAGGGGGCCATAGCTCACCCAGGCGTCAGAGGCCCTACTGAAAAGTTACATATGATCATGAACGTCCGTCGGGGAAATTAATTTGTCCTTGTTTTTTTATTCAAAGTTTTTGATTTTGTGATGGCATCAAGTTCTCGTGCATAGTATTCGCTTTTCTGCGCAAATCTAATTTTTCCAAAAGTACTTGAGTGTGGTCTATTGTAGTCTTATGGTTGAATATGGCTATAATTGATGGTTGAAATGAGTTTCGCCACAAGTTGACAAATAACGAATCACCCATGGAAAGTATTTACAAGTGTCTGATATAGTTAATTAGAGTTGGAACTATATTAATGTCCTTTATTAAACGCCACCAAACTACAAGGTTAAACGATTTACTTTTTTCTCTAGTCTTTGTTTGATATGATATATGTATTTAAATCTGCCTACAGGTGTTGGAAGAAGCTGGTATCATGAAAAAAATCAAGCGAGTTGCAGGGTCCAGTGTGGGAGCCATTACTGCTAGCCTCGTTGCCGTTGGTTATACGTCCCAGGATTTAAAAGAGTTTATGGATCAAGATTTACGAAAGGTTTTAGTAGGTAAGTTTCCTGAAAGCAGACACGAACTAAAAATTTGAATAAGACCTGGTTAGTATCAAGTAGACAGGCCATACTGGTTAATGATATGACGAAGGACAGAATATTTTTAAAGGGTGTTCTCCTGAAACGTTTGTGACATTATAACCTTCAATTGGACGCTCGTTGATTGGCACTTTCTTCTTTTCACACATGAATGAATTGGCTAATGATATAGCGAAGGACAGAATATTTGTAAAAAGTGTTTTCCTGAAACGTTCATGACCTTATAACCTTCACTTGGACGCTCGTTGGGTGCTTATTCTTTCCTATTAAAAACCCCTCATTAGTAGTTAGCCTCAATAACTAATATCAAAATTTCATGGGCACAATTTCAAGTTCAACGACGTGTTTTTGTAAGAAAAGCTGCAATATGCATTGATCATTGACAGGCTGGTATTTGCATCTTGCTGGTGACTGCACTTTAAAAGTCACCGCAGAATATCAGATATTCAATAAATTTGATTTGATTACCGTTCTACTTATGAAGAAATCTATTGATAATTACTAGTACAAGTAACACCATCAAAGAGTAAATCTGAATACAAATGTATGCTTATGTTGTTTGAGAGCATGGAAACATTCTTAACCAGACGTTGCCAAGAGGAAAGCCCAGTTGTCAATATAATGTAAACAATGATATTTTGTGTAGTCATTAGCAACAGAACTAAATAAATAGAGATTAAGCATACGTTTTCAAATGATGATGTTTTCATATAGTTACTTTTACTGTATATAAAGATACTGTATATAAAGGTACAGATTCTCAGTATTGAGAAATAATAAGGTAGAAACACACAAATTTCAGAGGCTAAGATAAATTCTTTCAAGTATTTCTTCGTGGTGTCCTTTTTCTCCGTAGTCGATGCAGTGCCAAGTTACCGGGGCAAAATATGCTAACTTGGCAACAATTTTTAAAGAATCTTTGCTCACTCAAGATAGTGGATTATTTGTAGCCTGTGCTTGAGACCCCTGGCTTGAGAATAGGGGTCTGGAACCCATAGTAATAGATTTTTATATGTTGCGCTTATGGATAGTCTACACAAAATTTTGGTTATGAATCCTGTTCGAACACAGTTTCCTCATTTCAGTTTTCGTATCGCGGTTTAATGCTTTCATTGGTTGTAATTCTATCCAAATTATGAAAATATTAAAGCTTTGCGGTATTGACAAAAGAAATATTTGAATGCATAGGCAAGCATGTAATCTTGCTCTATGACATCGTTGTATCCGGAGAAATAGCTTTGTTACATAATGTTGCAGCACCAGTCCCCACTTTCCATCCTGTTTTGGAGCCCATGTAAACTCCCCCTGATCATGTTTCAATTATTTCAGTATAGTAGAAAATGGCCTTAAAACCCAGTTTAGCCCTAACGGTAGGAAGGAGTTCTCGGTTCAATGAAGGCCTTGAAAACCACATTATTATTTCGAATTTAGTCACGCAGTCCCCCCCCCCTGAATTCCTGCTCATGGGTTAGATAAATTGATTACTCCTTCTTGGTGGTGAAATGTTTCGTCCCAATTAGTTGATTTTTAAGTTTTCCTGTATGATGTGGGTTTTCCCAACTTTCGTGTAATTCTAATTGTAAGGAAGATGAAGTGGACGTAGTTTGTGATGATGATGTATTTTTATCATTTTAACAGATCATCGATGTGGATACTGCAGTCTTTTGCCGAATCTTCTTCAAGGCTTTGGTTGGAATCCTGGTAAAAGACTCTTCAAATGGTTTGGTGAGCAACTTCGAGAACGTACCGGAAACGCAGATATTACATTCAAGGAGGTGGGAAGATATCCTTTTTAGCCTACATGATATCATTTTTATTTGCTTTTAATTGCCTGTATGTTAGTTGTTACACCCCTCAATTAAATGTGTGAGAATACCATAGAAAATGTTGTTTGGGTTTTACTAGAAGGATCTTGTGGAACCAACACCAGTTCTTTGATTCTCCTGGCTTCTATGACCTAATGGTTTGTCACGTATCGTTTGTTCAGCGCACTTAGTCTTGTGCAGGAAAAGACGACACCGGAAAGATAGCAAGAGACCTTGACAGTTTCGAGTCAAAAGAGAATGCCTCTCCACTAAAGACAGAGACCCAGTGTATGATGAAATGGAGAACGTCAAAGATTTTATCACTAACCCTCTTCGAACTTGATGAGGGGTTCTAATCTAAACTTTTATTGAAGGCCACGCACCGTGCTACCCTACAGCCTCCTCTCGTGTTAATTCAGCTAAATCCTGATTTACAGAGCTGCCAAGAAATATACGACAAAATAAAGGCGGGAAGAAACTTGCGACATTATCTCATCAGTTGATTTGTCGGCCATTAATACCAGATGGTGTCGTTTTCCGAGATAATGGGCGATCGTGGTGTAATCCTAAAGCATCCAGTTACAATACAGGGGTGAATGAATGGTCGCTATACATTTTAAACGAAGGCGAGGCTTTGAGGTTTTTTTGCCTCGTTAATAAGGATAATCTACTACTCCTGAGAACCCTATCGATTATCTTTAAACAATTTTTTCTGCTTGGCCATTTTTCAATGGATAAATGAGTCATTGGTCACTGCAGGCTGAGTTCAATCTAGATTTTTTGCGGTGTCGGCCTAGAAACTTACTGTAATTTGACTTAAACAATGCTTGGCCAAAGATGAAAACTGTCAATACTAAGCAAAAGAATGAATGCAATACTAGAAATAGCTCTTGCTAGTACTGCCCGCAAACAATTAGTTCCTTGATAATGATTGTTTTGAAAATGTAGGTCAGGATATTCGAAGAAGACACCATCTTGGGTTTTCACAATTCTATAAAAACAGCTGCTCTAGTTGATGCTAAACTATTCTTTTTATCAAGAATTTTTGGTGTTCAGTTTGCCTTTGATTTAAGTCCAACGCCCTTTTGAAAATCATGAAGTTTTTCGAGGGTTTGACATTTATTTTTCGATAATCACGACAATCATAACTTTTGCTCGTACGGTCTCGAGTTTTTGGGAGAAAAGTGTGGCATTCGACTGGTTTTGATTCCCAAAACTTCGAATCAAAACTTCCATCCATTGCGGAGAACAGAGCTGTGATACAGCACCGTTTTCGTGCCAACAATCATAACTTTTGCTCGTACGGTCTCGAGTTTTTGGGAGAAAAGTGTGGCATTCGACTGGTTTTGATTCCCAAAACTTCGAATCAAAACTTCCATCCATTGCGGAGAACAGAGCTGTGATGCAGCACCGTTTTCGTGCCAAAAAACCGAAGGCCTTTAACAGAGTCTTGGCAGAGCAACGCTCCGAAGATAATTCCCTTCCGCACAAAGAGGTGGCGGTTAACGACCTCCTCGACAAAGCCGATTGATTGACAATGAAATTGATTGACAGTTGTCATGGCAGCAGAAAAGTGACAAAATCTGCTGAAAAAGTGCTGACAACATGAACTGAAGCTTCCATATGCTACTTATACGCGGGGCAGACTATAAGCCCTTCACTCGCGCGCTATCGCGCGCGAGTTGCGGGCAATAATGTCAGAAGGATGCAAAATCGCTTTATTATGAATGAGTGGAAAAAATGGTAGATGTCAGCTTTGTTTGCTGGAATCTCACTTCGCCCAAAGCCTGCATCTCTTCATTGCCATTAAAGAAGAAAGAAGACCGCAGCTTTAAACTCATCGCTTAACAAATTGTTAAGGTTTACGGATGGTTCTTACGCGGTCACCAGTCCTTTATAGACCCATAGCTGTCATTCACTCACTTACAAAATGATTTAAATCTTCCCAAAATTGATTGGTTTATGCTGTTTGCGTCAGTTCTGTGATTTGATTCAAACATGTTTTGCAGAAAGACCTCTAAAATGAGAATCATAATACAGGAAAAACTAGATACAAAATCATGCATGTGTTTTGTGTCCAAGCAACTTAATCATCGGTGCAACTTTAACCAACTTAATCTTAAGCATCTTTAAGCAACTTAATAGTCGGTACATTGGTCATCCCTAGAGTTTTGTTTTTCATTAGCCATCTAGCAATGTATTTATTCATCCAAAACAAGGAGAAGAACATGGCGGATTTTTTTCAAATTCATAAATTTTTTATCGGTTCTTAAGAAAAGATAGTATCTGAAATACGTTTAAACTAACCGATCATAAATATATTTTCATCTCTATGATGTTTAGTTCTGAGTCATCCATTGATATTTTCCGCATATTTTGCGCCCACGTCACTTAAGGGGTGTTGGTAAAGCCGATATCGATAGTATCTAAAGATTAACCTATGATTCATGTTTTACTCGTGTTTTGTGTATGTATCAAATTGGTTTGTATCTTTACAATGGGCAAAAAATAACGCTGAACAAGGTATCCATGATGTTGACCAGTTTTCAAAGCGTCCCACTCCCGGTAACCCCTCCAACACAAACATTAATTTCAGCAATATCCATACAGATTTCGGCCTATAACTGCATATCTAAGTCCTGCTTTTTTTACTATATTGTTTTTTTGTTTGAAAACATTCTTCCCGTATATCTTGAATTTGGAACCAAATTTAAATCCAATTTTTGAATTCCAATTGAATTTCGAGTTGTTTTGAGTTCATCTGGAAGTGAGTTCCAGGTTTTCGATCCTCTAGATTATAGTTACAAAAATTGATAACTCAGATTTTTAGGACTTAGAAAAGGCATCTTGTGACAAGTAGAAGTCGGCTCTTTAAAAGTATTACTCTCAAGCAGGGTAAAGAGAGGTCCCGATATGATGAGTTGTTGAGAAAAATGAATATTGATTTGTCCCAGCATCAGTGTCTAGGCGAGAAAAGCAAGGAGCAGCTCGTGTCGGATCTTCACTAACTTTAATATGAAGTGACCAATGCAATATCTATTTGCCTGATTGTGCAATTAAAAGTATCTCGTTCCAGATGATGCTAAAAGCACGTAACTAGCATCACTTTCTTCTTCCCAGTAGCAGTTCTGCATGCACGCTTATTGCATAAATCGATGTGCACTGAATGAGCTGTTGAAGAAATTTACGTGTATTGATTGCTCAGTCTTTGATGTTCCTTTTTTGTGTCTAAACAGAAGATACTCCATCAAATTTAAGCATAGGTGCCGGGGACGTTTAAAACCCAGAACTCTAGAACAAGAACAATGAAAACAAGCTTTTGAGGACAAGGTACATCGTCTTTTGCCCCCGTAGCCTGGCATCCTTGGCACAGGGGCCGGATAATTGAATAAAAACGAGCCAAGTAGAAATAAAGACCGTCTTCACACATGATGGGGTGCAATTTTGAAGTTCTTATCTCTGAGGCTGTTTTGTGGATGTGTAAAACTAATTATGTTTCTTCGTTTAGGGTTGTTGCTCAAGATTAGCCCACAGTAGTGTATGCAAGGCCATTAGACCATGCTGATTCCTGTTTTTCTGTGTTTTGAACTAGCGAATCTCTTTCTTTCCACAGCTTTTGCAAAGGTATGGAAGAGAGCTCTGCATTGTGGTGACGAACCTTAGCCAAATGTCGACAGACTACTTCCATCCAAAGACAACGCCAAACATACCTATCAGAACTGCAGTTCGGATGTCAACTGCCATGCCAGGTAGGTGTCTTTATTATGCAGTTGTCTCCAATTTGAGTGTCATTCAGTTTTCATTCCTTGTGCATCTGCCCGTATTTATCCCTAGTCTATCACCCTCACTCATTTTTGAAAGAACCCCAACAAGAAATGCGGATGAGCCTGGCACAGTGCTTTATTTTCCGATTGCAAATCATGATGAATAAATTTATTACATAGTCTTAGCGGAGCAATGAAAACAACCCCACCTTTTTTCACAGCATTTTCACTATTTTACAGGTTCAAAATTAAAATAGAGCAAAACGAAACCCAATCACCTTGAACGTAATCTTCTTTGATGTAAAAACATCACGGGACGGTTGTGTGCCTCTTCCAGTCAGCAGAGAAATCTCGTTTTTGAAATTGAACCTCGTTTTAGTCAAAAAGCGGTTAAATGATGCTTATTGAATGCAGCTAGTGTAAACAGCGGTCTTTCTTGGGTTTTTACGACAGACAAACTCGTCACGGATTATTCAAGTACTGAAACATCGAATTAATCCACATGCAAACCTCCTGTATAGTGCACGTTGCACTGACTGAATATTGAGTGCATCATACAAAAGCAAGTCAATTTATTTACTTTTATCAGAAAGTGTCTCCTAAAGCAGCTTGCGGTATAGAAAGGAAAATTCTAGGCGCTACTTGTGACAAAAGTTGAATTAATCTTTCAGCTGTTGCTCTATTTGACACAAGTTGCTTTTTTCGAAGAAGTAGCAAATAATCGTAAGTGTGCTAAGGCCAGATGTACAAATACTAGCATGATTCGCCTTCGCTTCGATGTAATCAGCTCTCCCCCACAACTAACAGACTTGTTGTGCCGACCTTTGAGATTGTAAATGGATTTTTTCTCTGCCACCCTCAAGCGTGTGCATCAAGATTATTTTACGTTGTAAGAAAAAGTAGCTCGTAAGTTTCCCTTAATAGTACTTGATTTCAGTGGCGTCGCCAGCTCAAAAAAACCAGGTGGACAAAAACAAATTTTCTCGGCCACGCTCTTCATACTCTTGGAAAATCGTATTTTAGTATTTTTTATCTATTTTGAAGTTTTTGGACAAGCAGCTTTCTCAAGCAGCATTTTTCGTAACGGTGGCTTTTTTGCATGTGCCCACTCCACCTCGTGGCGACGTCACTGCTTAAAATTGATTCGCGTCGTATCCTCACTGTGTCAGTTTCAAGGTTGCATAGTGTTTCGATGGTACGTCAATATTGTTGGATGGATTTGAGAGCGTGGTGGCACGAGATCAAAGTATCTTATTACTGTGGCCTTGACTTTGCTCTTCGGATGAGGAATTGAAAATTTTCTATTTGTTAATTAGTACATGTTTGATTTGCCCTCTCGTTTTACATTTGTACTAAATGATTAGCCGGAGGTTACGATGAAAAATACTGTGATACAAATGTAGAAAAATTCCAGACACGTTTTTCTTACCACACAGTTATATAATCAGCCGTCTTGTGCAGGTCTATCCTTTTCATGTAGATATAGCAAGACTTACGATGGGCAACAGTTCTTCAGTATGACTTTATTAAACCGATATTCAGTTTGATATGTTTAATAAAGCCATACATTTTTTTTGTAAAATTCAGATAATTTTTACTGAGGCTTGATGTTGTTGTTTTTGGATAATGTGAGGCTACAGTGCTTTTAATGTTGTTCTATCAATTGTTTCAGAACTGGTTTTCCTTCTTTTACATTCTGTCAATTGTTTCAGAGACCACTAGATAACATTGTTGCATGCTATATTTTGTGGCACGGCTTTTTAGCTGATAAAATCTGCTCTTTTTTGTTGATACAAGAAAAATATTTCAAAAACACATTATTTTTTCTCTAAATTTTCCTCTGAGTCTTGACATGCTTTCACTGCTTTTATTATTTGGGAATATCGAACCTTGGTGTGTCTTATATAGTGTCTTCTTACCGTTTAGCGAGTACAAGCATGCCTAGGTTGAACGCTTCTGGTCGTGACAGGGAGGTTTCCATCGTCTGGTGGTTGTGTCTGCAATCAGTATAGCATTTGTTACAAAGACTTTGCTAGCCATTAGATAGTACTAGGTACATTTATATCCCAACCATGTTATTGAATGCGTCTCGCGCATGTCAGGTTATTTTTATGCTAATCGTAATCATGTATTGCATTTTTCAGGGGTGTTCCAGAGTGTAAAATACAAAGTCAATGAAAATACAGATGTTTATGTCGATGGTGGCTTGCTTTGTAACTATCCAATCCACGCCTTTGACGGTAAGTCAAGCTAACCATCCATATATTTCAGGTAATTTTTTTCAACGGATCTTGATGGTTTTCGATCAACTAAGGCCTGCTGATGCTTTCAGATTTTAGTACACATGATTCCCTGTGTTATACCAAATTTGGTTGTTGTTGTAATTGTTATTGTTGATGTTGTTGTTGCGTCTTTTCTGTATCCAATGCAGCTGTTTTATCATATGTAACAAAAACAGGACATATGAATTGAAGTCACTCACTAACATATAAGAAAGTATAATGGCAAAAACAGTGAAAATGTCTGGTTTATGTGTTTGAGAAGAAAATAGCTAGTCTGTTGTTATCAAACTTTTTGTGAGTTAATTGAACTTATGGCGGAAGGCTACCTACAAATTTTGTAGTTGTTTCAGCATATCGTCACGTACCCTGAATAGCCACAAGAACCAACACTCTGCTACTTTACCTAATCTCTATGTTGTTCAAAATGCTTTAAACTTGTTGGAAAATGTTTCCGCTTTTTTCCACAATTTCTCAGTTTTGTAGTACTCTACTTGATATTCTGCGCCGTCATAGTATACATTACGATTCGCCATCAGACGTCTTTTGATTATTGGTTCACTTTAGGCTGGTGGTTGTCGATGGACCCAGAGGATAGCTTCTTCCAGAAGCTTCAGCCTTTAGAAGATTTTCCACGCCTTTTTGCAAAGTCTGAGCGATTTGGCAAATGGAATAACAAAACGCTTGGAATAATATTGGTGAGTTTCCCAAACACGCTATGTCTTGTATGACCTATTTTACAGAGAAGCTCAACTACCTCCTTATTTGTTTGCCGGAAATTTGATACCCAAAATAAGCAGTCGTCCGGGCTAAGGCATCCTGAACAAAGTTCTCAATTGTTCCGAAACCTCAATTCTTAACTGAATGCTATCATCTTGAATTTCAGTATTCACACACGGAAACAGAGCTGATGAAGATGATGCTTAAAGCGAGGCAAGGCAATAACCCACCAAAACAGCCCAATACAAAGCTATACAGGTGTGCACCTTGAAAATTACGTGCTGTTATTTGGGATAGATCTCTGCCATTAGACTTGTTATATTACCTTTGTATGAAATTACATTAGGTGGGTTTTGCAGATGAAACCAAGTCTCTGGACCTGTAATCAAATATCCTTCACGACCAACAAGGATCAAAATGTGACCTTTTAACTTACAAGAACGCAGGATGTGAAAGGTGATTACACCTTTGCTCTAACCATGTTTGCTATACGTAGCACTCAGCCTAACTTGAATCCGTCTCTTGCGCTGGATTTTTTAAGTTCAAATCAACCTAGGTTTCTGGATGAAACCATCAAATCTACATTGATGCCACATTGATCTCCGGATGAAGCTACATAAAAACACTAATATCTCTGGAATTTATTCTATTTCTCGTGTATTTCTTAATCTGTTCATGTTCCGTATGTATGGAATTTTCAATATACTGAGTGATTTTTCTTTAAAGGAAACGGCGAAAAATGAGGATGAAGCAGCAGGCAGCTCAGATGGAACACCAAGCAGTGGTGACTGCTGTGGGAAAATTAATCAAGGTTTGTATATGTGACATGAATTTTGATTCCGTCATACGCTATTACAATGCACCAACAGTCTATATCGTCGCCAACCCACCCCCTGACTTACAAAGCAACTCGTGAATAAAAGCTGTGGCAAGTTTCTTCAAGGGTTCAAAAGCACAATGTTGTTTATTTGCCAAAAACAAAAAATATTGGACAGGAGACACAATCGACCAATTCGACTTACGGCCTCGTTTTAGAAATTTCTCCAAATTTAATTATTCAACTATTTTTAAGCTCGGATTTTGTTTTATCACAATAGATTTAGACTGGATACAATTTTTCATTTTGTTTGTGCTTGTAATTTAGATTTTACGGAGAAATGAAGTTTGAAAACTTGCTAGGGATTTGCCGCAAAAATTATTCCGGGTGAAACTTTACCCCCCTAGTCGCCAATCACGGTCAAATCTCTTATAAAATTTTTATCTTTATGTCGTCATAAAATCAATATCGTGATCAATACCATAATGAAAATTTCCAAGTAGACTAAAATCAATGCTCTTAATCCGAATCTGAGGTTGAAAATTTTGTACAAAAAAATTTGAAGATATTTTCAAAACGAGGCCGTAAGTCGAATTGGTCTATACACGATACAATGTAAGCATCGAGAAAAGATATTCGTCCCATTTGGCCTCCTTCTTAGATTATCCTAGGCAAAATCTCGAGCCCAAGGTCTGTTTTGAATCTGCTATCTAGATATTTTTGTTAATATTATTATTGAAAGCATCTGTACAATTCGTATTACTGTCTTCCCCAAGGGCTTCGGTGTAGTGAACTAGCTTTTGTCTAGCTGAATTCAAATGTTTGACTGTGGTGAGACGAGTCAATCATAATCCACTATTTACAACATCCTTTAAATTCTTCTATTCTTATTATACATGTCAGTCAAACAATAAAGTTTAAAAATGTTAATTGTTACAGAATAATATTTTGGAAAGTGCAGTGGAGTTTTGGTAGGAAAATAGCTCCTTTATTCTTGTTGTTTTTGAAGCAATCAAGAAGGATTGGATTAAAACAACTTTAGAATGTCTAGAACACAGAATAAGAATAACGTAAAAGTCTTGTCTAAACCTGTCATGCAATATAACCTGGTGCTTTTGCGGTGGCTCGCAGTCGGGGGTCCGTTACTTCAGGGTGGTCCAACGTTCATGTGTTTTTTTTCAAGCAAGCAAATGGTATACATCCATTTCGAGAGAATTTGTTTTATTTTTCAAATGCTTTGAAAAACTGATTGTTAGAATATGTTAATAAGTTGCACAGATTTCTAGAGAAACAGTAATGTCTTTCTATTTCCTGTGATGTATCGAAAAATCCTTTTTTCATTAAAACCAAATGATTGATTTCCTTTGCCGCCATTTTGAAATTGCCCATTATAAGCCATCGCTATAAAGCCAAATAGTATTGAAGTTAATTCGCTGCATAATACGATTTTCTGTCACTCTGAAATCAAGGTATTTCTTATTAAAGCGTTTGTGAATATTCAAAAATTCTTTTAAAAATCAGTGTTTCCACGTTTTATGTAGTTGTAAATGGATATTTTCCCAGGCAAGCTTAATCGGGCTGTTCGACGCTATTTCATTATCTTTTACGCCGTGAGCCGGTTTCCATTGATAAGAGCACAATCTAGTATTAAACGTTACGGGGCGCACCCACAGTTCCAGCCTTCAGTTGTTAAGGTTTAGTTCGATTGCGGCCTAAGTATGGAAATAAATAGTTCACTTGACTGGACAGTTTGTTTCTTCTCTTCAGGAACTTCGTGCACTTCATATTGACGATGATGGTGTCATAAGTGAGAAAGAGATGAAAAAACTTTTTGAGACGGTGAGTCGCAAACCCTTTAATTGCTGGATCTATCAAATTAGAAAAAATATAGAATTTTCGTTGCTAGCATCTCATTATTTTTTCGACTTCAACTCTCATCCTCATGTTATTGTCATACGATTGCCCCAAGTATCGTGGCTTATATTTTGTATAGAAGGAGGCAGGTTTGTCTGAAGCTGGCAAAGGGCGTGTCTCATTTTGACATGGTTACTTCATGTTTTAGAAAACTAAATGCTAATTCAAATCAACCTAACAATGTTTGTATATGTTATAGAATTTAATGGAATCTTTTCTTTGATCTGCTGTACATTTTTCTAAAATTGACGGACAAATATTCATGACATGACTCATTACAGACAAATCTAACCAATTTCTGATAGAATAGTCCTAGCTCGTCCCCGATCAAATGTCCTATTTTGCACAGTTTGTTTTGCACAGCATGTCAAGACAAGTTTTTTAAGACCTGTACAATTATATAGCGCATTCATTTTTTATTCGTAGTTTATATTTTTCCTCAATTTTTGAATTTAATTTGGCGGTTAGTAAGGTAGAAATCAAATATTTAATGTCACGTGGGGGGGGGGAATGGCATTTCATCGGGTGCTATAGGGGAGAAGAGAAAAGACAGTATATATAAATGTCCACGGTTTTAAGGAAGCTGAAGAATGGTTAGCTTGAAAAGCTTAGTGAGGCATTCTTGTCGTGCGTTGTAGTTTATCAATGTTTTCTTTTTAGGCGTCCCCACTTATGTTCAGTGTTCTTTTCTTTTCAGGCCTCCGATTTCACAGAAGAAGATAAATTTCTCTTATTTGAAAGCATTGACTATTCGTCAGCATTTGAACAATTAGATAAAGATGGAGATGGAGAGGTAAAAAATTATTCGAGATAATTCTTCCTTGTGGAAACCAGTCCTCTAATGTTCATTAGTGAGCTGACAACCTATTGGACAATCTGGTCTTTTTGAGAATACTTTGCTATCTCAGCATATAATTAGAGCCAGAGAAAACCTAGTTTAGACAGTTTAGACAATAATTTGAATCATGACGTTCGGCATAAGGCTTGGATAAATCTACTGTGATTTGGGTGCCAGTACCTTCTCGTTGTATTTCAAAGCGACATTTTTTACTAATTACTAAGCCACAGAAATCGCCAGTATAAAACTAGCGTGAAAATAGTAATGGTCTAATGTCGGCTTTCTTCATCTCTGCTCACGAATGCTAAAAACTTTTTTTAAAAATTCTTGTCTCCCATAAACCAGCATTATGTGCAATGACTTATTTCTGTGCAATGATTTGATGCCATTCTTTGCAGAAAGGATTAATTCTCCGTCAAATATTTTTTAGATCACCTTCCAAGAGTTGCTATCATTCTTAGAGAGGAAAGGCGTTGGTATCCAGACACGGTTTCTTGGTTACTGTAGAAAGGAAATAACGCACTTAACCGATTTCATTTCAACCCTACAGGTGATTCCTTTGCTTCAATTTTACCTGCAGAAAATTTGATATTGTAAATTCATAACATCAATAGTATTTTCAGAGATAAGAAAAAGTAAAAGGAGCGTGAAGCGTAGAATTGGAGCAAACAGACACATTTTATTGCTGATTTGCCAAGGGAAGAGTTGCTAGCTGCCCATTGATTTCCTTCATTTTTCAATTATATAACTTAAAATATCTTTAAGACTTCCAGTTCTATCCTTTTACACCCTTGTAGTTTGTACCCCTATTTATTGTTCAGAAGAAAGTGTGGCTTCATATAAAAAGATAATTTGAGAATTTTTAATTTGGGGTATACAACCTGTAAGAATACATTGAAAAACCTTTGAATATGGAAAATCAGTTACAAATGTTGATAATTGGATAAGATATGGCCAATGAAAGATTTGGAATTTGCTAACGGAATACTTTTGTTCTGGCTTGGTTCATAAAGTCATAAACAGAGGAGACCAAAGTACAGTGATTCGATGAGAAAAGACCTTGTACTTATGTGACTATATCTCAGCCAGTTTCTAACACATTAAGTTGATGTCGCAATTCAACAGATATTTCGCAAAGCTCTTTCAGGTTGTACGATCCAAGTTAAAATTTTTTGCAAATATATTTTTATGACGTCATCACTTTCATTAGATGATTCCAGCTATCTTTGTCTGTATTTTGAGCTTCATAGTTTTTGAATAAAAGATTATTGAATGAAGTGCCATTGAAAAGGATAGTAAAATAAGGAAAGAGGGACCGATATTGATTTTCAGGAAATATTGATCCCAAAAGAACGTATTTTTAGTGCTCTGTTGATAGTATCAGCAGATTTCTGCTAAACAGTATAAAAAATTTACTCTTGACTGCAAATTGTGATATAATTGTATACATCTCCTTACAGGATGCACTTTCAATTAACGTGAAGAGAAATTATGTTGATGTAAGTTTAATATACTGGTTTTTATTTTAATGTTAAATTTGACCATCAAGTCTGGTTTTGCCCCAGGGCCTCCAAAACCTCTCCACGGCCTTGCGGCTTTGTATAAATTTTTTCAAAAGTCCTTACAGACAACCAAAGGAGCCAGGGTATCAAGCAACCTCTAAAACTCAAGTGATTCATTTCGGCCGATTCTTGGCTTTGTTAATATTTCTCTCCTTTGATTGAAATATCTATAAAATATGTTTCATAGAAACTCATATCTATTGCTGTTCTAATACTAAGAAAATCAGTCCCAGGACACGATGACGTTCTCTATTTTGTGCTTTTGGGAAATTAGCCTAATTAACGATATGCGCTAATAACTTGCTTTCTTCTCTAACTTAACCATTCTGACAAGTTTATTTTCCTTACACTAACCATTCTACGTAATATCTTTTTTCCTAAATACTCCAAAACTGATGCCAAAGCGCATTTTCCCGTCTTATTATTTTGTGCCTGGGGCTACCAAGATTAATTTGCCATCCCGGTTTTTCCAACTATTGGAGTTCACCAACCCTCTACTTTCAGATGATTAAGTTCCTCGTAGATGTAAAAATTCAATTGAAATTTCTGGTCTATATGGAGAACTTGAGTATTCATTATATGATTATATTGAGTTCCTTACGACTTATTTGGGCCCCCCTTTTTAGAAGATCTTTCAAAATGTTCACTTACATTTCCTTAGGATCGAGATATAGAGAGAACCATTGGCATTGACACAGATTACATTGAAACACAGGATTACGAGCTGGAAGCAGAAGATAAAGAATTCCTCATCGAGGTCTGTTTCTCATAGCTACAATCCTGGCCGAAAGTTATTGGACTGGCTGGCAAATTGTAGTCTTTTTGAAAATATTCGCTCCCCACCCCCACAGTCAATGTTGATATGCTTATTTCTACTCATTTCGAAAGCTGGTACTTTGGTATTTTCCAGAAAACCAACATTGCTTCAGGGGTGGGGGTTTTGATAATATTATTGGGGTTAAGTTGCAATTTTAATGGGTTTTTTCTCCAGTTCACTAACCTTTTGGCCAGAATTGTAGGTTCTAATAGAACCAGACTTTATTTTATAATGACATCTGTTACATATCCTCTTTTATTATTCTCATATCACTTACGGAACTTTAACTTCACAGTACTTCAAGACATTTGGCATAAATAGGCCATTCTTACATAGTCTCAACCCTCTCAATGCGATTAAACTAATGGTTTAAATGGCTTATTTGCAAATACATCCGACCAGGCTATATTGGCCACCAATGAAGCTCTAAAAGTCGTATAATCAAAGTTTGTTCAAAGTGAAGAAAAGATGCGGTTTAGAATTTTTAAAACCTAGAGCAGAAAGTTGAGACTTGAAGATTTTTTATTTCTACTAAACTTCAATCTTGACAACATGCCTGTATATCGCATGCATGCAACTGTGTATATCGCAATAGGCTTAATAGTGTGGGATACAGTTCTTTTTTAATTGAACAATTTTTTATAGACTGGGGCGAGAGCAACAAGAGCTTTTTTGAGAGATTTTGCAAAGAAGCACCCCGAATGCAGGCGCCGGAGGAGTGCCATGCTGTCAAAACAGTTCTTTGATTCTGCATTTGAAGGTTCGACTGAAAATGAGGTAATCAACAACAACCTGACCAATGAGATTGACCGAAGAAATGGTATTGAAAGTACAAGTACTGCGATATCGTTTTTATCATCAGACTCAGATATTCCAAAATATGGTCACCAAGAGTCACCACAACTGCTCAGACGAAGACTTGACTTGGAAGAAGAGTTTGACTTTGGCATACCAGGTGCTTATAGGTGATAAAGGAGGAAATAAATTCCTTTTGTAAAAGTACCTTGTTTTAGGGCTTTGGTCTGTTTTGGAAAAGCCTCCTTATTAGTGACAGATATATCCGACTGGTAAAAAATGGCCTCAACGGGATGGACGTATAATAATTTCGTCAAACCAAGGGATCGTACTCATTGCGCCGATGAAAAAACGAACCAGCAAAAGAGTTTTTTAATATAAACATCACTTTTCTAAACAATAATTTTTATGCTCATGAATTTTATTTCATATCAATCAATGAAGAGTTCAAACAATGTCGTTGCTGCCATTTTTGTCGCATATTTGCAATGAGATTTCGTGACGGAAACTGTCGATGAATTTAGCAAAAGACAACTTAACTGCTACAGGTAAAGCATTCTGTGGCTTCATAACAGAGTCAAGACTCAGTTTTTATATTTGTACAGTCAAGTTTCATAAACTTGCGTGTTGTATAAAGAGTAAAAATACATTGATATGTGTTTGTAATTAGAGAAAATGTAAAAAAGTTTTCCGCTTATATGATGCCGTTTGAACATAGACCTTGTATATTATCTGTTTTGGTTTCACTGATTATTAGCAGAGTCACAAAAACATCACGGCCCCACCCCCGCTGGCCGGAGGAAGGTTGTAGAAACAAAAAGGAAATAGAGAAAGGTGACCAAAACTTTGAAAACTGGAGGAAGTTAAAGAAATCGTATTGCCTTTTAGCTTTCAAAAAACAGTCAGGCAAAATTAAAAAATCAAATTATATTTCTAGCCCTGTTTTTTATATTGAATGTGTTTGCAGAAATCCTTTGCACTGTCACATTTAAGAATAAACTTTTTATAATTTATATGCCATATGAATAATTTATAAGAATAAACTAATTTTTATAATTTATTTACAGGTTTAGGGCTCATTAGCAAGAAAAAAATTTGGCTCCCTTTATCATATCCCCCTTAAATGGCAATCAGTTATGCTTTTATTTTCGAAACGAAGGTGTTGGTTGTGAGCGAATGACTTGCATGCTAATAATTATCATTCGATGGCTTGGATAAAGATAATTTCGTCGGTAGTCTAGAAATATTTGCTAGTAATATTTGGAAGTAGTATTTGCAAGCGTTAGCCAGCGATTGTCTCATCGTGAGTATTAATACGTTGCCACATGAAATGTCAACAAATACCTAGGTATAAGGTTTTTCAGAAGGCAATAGGATCCAAAGTATTTTGAGAACTATCTAAAAAGCATTTTTTCAGAGATCCAAATCTGATTAGATGTCACATGCCCTCGTGCGCTTTCATTTGAAGATACCCCAAACGATCTTTCCGGTTAAGGGACATTTTTTCACCCCATTGTCTGTAGGTTATATAACCTTGGTAATCTGTTTGTTAGTGTACATCGTAAGCATGATAAATTTTCTTTCTAACAAAATGACTGTGAAAGATTTTACAAAGTCATCCTCATTATATTGAGCAATATACTCGTTAGGTATAATGAAGCAAATTATTCGAAATTTCAATAGGTGACATAATTTGAGGAGGCCCCTTCCCTTCCGTATATTTCTTGGGATGGTAATAAAATATATGCGGCTTTTGAATAAGAGAATCTTGCCAATACGACTCTGCATTGAATAAGAACTCTAAAATTAATTCTTGGTTGCTACCGAGAAGCTTATCTGGAAAGAACCAGCGCTTTTTAGAGGATAATTAAGCTACCAATGAAATATCTGTCAGTATTAGATAGCGACGTTTAGAGAAAACTGAAGTCTATTTATGCGATCCGTTAAATTAGGTTAGAGAAAACTGGTATTTGATACTACTTAACCATTTTGATGCTTGTCACAAGTAAAGGCAGAAATGAAATTATAACTAGAATGTCACAAAGAAATGGTTCACTGCTGACAATTATTTTGCCCTTCAAGGAGCATTTAGCAAAAACATTTATGTCTTCGCGAACAGAGCTAGTAGTGTAGGAGATAAGCAACACGAATGCGTAAAATCGTCCTTTTAGAGGCCTTGGCTCCTACACTATAGGTAGATTGTGCCAAATCACAAACAAAGATAACGAATAGGATTGGACCTTAAACAGATCCTTGTGGCACACCCTTGTTTGCACTACTAATAAGTTAATTTTTCCCGTTGACTTCGGTGTACTGGTTCCTTCTGCTAAGATGGCTAGCAAACCAGTCACATTTTACTCCTAAACCCGTAACGTCAAGGAAGACGCTAATACTATTGAGGTTTTGATAGAAAACTCGAGCAACTCTAGTTTGGCACAAGTAAAAAAGGCCCCCTATTTGAAAGTTTTAATAACCGAGTCGGTTTAGTTAGTGCCAAAAATGGACTCTCAAGATTTAATCGGGCACGTTAGATATTATTTATTGTGCAAAGCACTGATAGTTTGCGATTTCTCGACAGAGACCGGGAAATATGGCGATCGATAACGACATAATATATAAAGGCCTATATGAGCTAATGCTATTCCCAAACACTGCCTTCTCTATTTTCTTGAGGAACTTGAAAAGAGGTTGAGGGGATTTTTCGGACCTTATTACTCGATATCTGGCGAGTTCTTGTCTATGATAGGCCCAGCTCTGAAAGCCTGTTCAATGTTTGCAAGTCTCGGATTTAGGTGCCCATGTTTTGAATGGCACACGTCTGAGAAGCATGGTGAATGGTGATGCCGCAACAACTACCAGCGAAACTACGCAGTATTTACATGTTTTTAACAATATGGACAGCAACAACAACACGTTCAGGACTTTTCGCGATTGGGTTCCATAGAAGGATGGTTCGATGAATTAGAAGTCGATGCACAGTTTTATTTGATAAAAATCAAGAGATCAAATAAAAAGTTGTGCAAAAAGAAGGATATTGTATCAGTTAATGGCGTTATGATAGCCACAAGATAAGAGCTTTGGTTTTTTTAAGTCTACAGAGGCTGTGTTTTTGTTGACGTGAAATAATTATGGCAGGCCGATATCTGTCATACACATGTCTGCGCTGCTGCCTTTATGGGCTGAATATGATTTATTTGGTGAGTACGAAGTACAAGAAACAATAATTCATCTGAAATTTTATTGTTTTTATTTTGCTCTGTCAAGGAAAGGAAATTTAACTTATTGAATTTAAGCTTGGAAGAATCAGTATGATTCCTATAACAACTACAAATTCAAAGAGTGTTTCCCAATTCACAGGTGTGATCAGCAGTTCAAATTCGTTGAAATCAACTAGCCAAATAGATTATTGTGAACAAAACATAATCCCTGAATTTATTTTTCGTGAGAGAGAGGACACGTCTCAGATTTCTAACCGCATCGTCAATCAATATTATATAATCGATGACGATATGAAAATTGAGACAAAAAATGCTGCGGCATATAGATTTAAAAAAGTGATTATTTGATTGCGAACCTATTGATAATTTAAGCATATTTTTTCAAAAAACTTAGTCATTCATCATAATCAATGATGAACAAACGTGAAATCTTAAACATTATTCAGGTTAATCATAATTTTTACCTACAACCAGAGTTTTTGGTGTGCCTTGATTGTCTCATTATTCACAGATAAATCCAATAAAATATTTAACTTGCGTGTGGTACTTCATCCAAAATAATGATAATATAGTTAGCAAATAAATTGAGTACCAGAATAAAACTAAATAATTATTTTATTTTCATTCTGGTACTCAATTTATTTATTAACTAATTATCATTATTCCCAGATAGTTTAAAAGCCAAAGGACATTAAGTACATGTAGTCTTAAGTTTATTTTTTCTTTATGATTTCTCTCTGACAATTGAAGGTAAGTTTTATAATACTGAATTGTGCACATTTTGCTGTTAATTCAAGTGTTAATTGTGATCATATGAACTTCATTCATTCATGTTCATATTATTTCTAAGTGTTTTTTCTTGGCATAATTTGTGTGAAACTTTGATGCTCAAGTAGCCTTGAAAAAATTCATTTGAAAAATTTGTTTTTGTCCTTAATGTCTTAACTTGGCAGTTTCATCTCTTTCTAATCAAGGAAGGAGATGTTAAATTTATGTTTCCTTGGCTATTAGAACAGTGTCACACAGAAGTTTGTAAAATTGTGGATACCCTGAAATATTGGGAACAATGTAGATAATGTGTTAAGGGAATAGCTCAAAAGCAAATTTAATTATTTTCTGTAAAAGCCCTTGACACAATTGATGATTTCGGAACTTCAGTCATCATATCATTATTCGTGGCTGCTTCATTGTAATCCATGATTAATTTTGAGAAGGCTATGGTTCAAGTGAAATTTACTCTTTTAAAATTTTTTAAACAGCTGTTTATCTACTCAGTATTGAGCTTTTACTTATTTATTTTTTACTTATTTAATTAAAAGTGAGACACCATTTGAGGCTAAGCTATCAAGCCATCTAATTGTAACTGAGCAGTTAGAATGATATGCAATTGCAAACATCTAGACCCAAGTATGTAAACCCACCTATCCCCTCAGTATACCATTTATTAATTTAGACATTTACAATCATTTTTAGGATCAACAAGCTTATGATTTCAAGTTAGGTGGCTAAAAGTGTAGTTCTCCATATTTTAAGGTTAGGTAATATAGTGTTATTGCAACTTCACTTTGAACTTGGGCTGGGTGTTGTAATTTTCTGCATTTCCGATAATTGTAACAAACAAAAAAATTTTCAAGAGGGATGACTTGCAAGGGGATGATAAAAGGTTGGATGCCCCCCAAGATGTAGAAAATTTAGCATTTGGCAGATGGGAGATCAAAAGTAAATATAGACCAAAACCAACTTAAAGAATATTTATTCATGAAGACCAGTTTCAAAAGTAAATTTATAATTCAAAATTTTACTACATGATAATGAGAGAGCACATACAATAATATCCAGAATTTTATTTATTTTTAAGCCCTAAGATTGATTCAATTTTTCCTTATTCTTTGGTCTTACAGGCTTTCAAACTACCCCTAGGAATAAATAAGCCTTGAACTAATTTTTTTTATATTTTCATTGCAGATCTTGGCTCTAATTATAATTACACTCCCAGTATACTTCAAAGTGAATGCATTGCTGACAAGTTGGCCAATAAATGGTGGAATCATAGCTGCAGGTGTTTTTCTGTTGCTGGTTGCTCTTGCTGGGCTATATGGATCATGGCGGCAAAACCAGATTATTCTCTTTTTTGTATCCTTTTCTCTGAATTTAAAGAAACCTATTTTTTATTAAGCCAAATCATTTGTCTTATCAATGTTATCATTATGCTACTAATTTCATGAAATTACATTGAATATAAACTTGCCCATGTTTAAAAAATTTGCATTGATTTAAGCCACATCAATTCTCTTAAATCAACTTGAATTTGCCTCTTTCTATGATTCTTATGATTATTTTTTATTTTTAGTTTAAGTATTTTAACTAACTTCCAACTTTTATTTATAATGGGCCCTGTTGTAAAAAATTGAACTTTAACTCGATTAGTACAGGCTACCCACTTTAAAAAATATCTATTATTATCATTGTTATTCATTCAGTGGTAAAATAATTATTTTTGTGTAATAAGGTAGCTCTTGAACTTAAAAGTTGACAAAGGAATGTGCCTTTAAATTTAGAGAGCCAACTATTGTTTTTAATGATTTTTGCCCTTATTGTCAATTACATTTTATTGAGCTGTTTCTGCAATGAAAATTCAGTTACCTAATCTGATCCTGATTCTGCGACTGTCTCATTTCAAAGATTTAAAATGAGAAATGAAACTGGAACATGATTACTGAAAATTATTTACTGTGGATTACTGCAAATGACTGTTCCAACACTTATTGTCCTTAACATTTATCAATAGTATATGGTAATCCTTGTCATTCTGTTCATACTTCTATTTGCATTTTCAATTGCTGCCTTGGGTATTACAGCAACCCAACAAAAAAAGGTTCTTGCTACAGGATGGTATAATTCTCAGACTTCAACTAAAGCCAACTTGCAAAAGTATCTTGATTGTTGTGGCTTTGATAACAAAACACAAACAACTGGAAGCCTAGGACACCCACCATGTAATGAGGTAAGATTCATTGTGTATGCTAAAGCTTTTTCGCACCAACTACTTCAACCTGAAAGAGCCACAATACTAAAACATAGGTGTCCAATGGCTATGTATGAAGAAGATGTCTGGTACATAATATGAGCTCAGTAAAGAGTGGTAGCAAGAAGGATTTGGCTTTTTTGTGAAGTTGTTTATAAAGAAAAAATATCAGAATACAGGCCCTGTATTACAGGGTCTTGGTGAGAATTTATTCATTTTAATTTACAGTAAAAGCACTATCAAGCCCAGCGGGGGCTTATTTATTTTCTCACTTCTAGAGGGAGGCTTATTTGAAGGGGGCCCTATTTGAGAGGATGGCTTGTTAATCATTAAAAATAGAACATATTATAAAATTGCCACAATACTCTGGGATTTCTTTGAAAGAATCAACATCAGTATCATCACAACCATCAAGAGACCCATTCAATGCGCCTGTTTTCTTTGTTTGACATCAGGGGCTAAAGAGGAGGTCTTAATAGAGAGGGGGGTTTATATCAAATTTTGGCATCGGAATGGGGCTTAATAGAGGTTTAATAGAGCTTTTACGTTAGATTTAACGCTCCACAGATTTATTATGACTCGTGATGATTTTCGATCACTCACAATGATTCATGATTCTTAACACTGCTTCATGGTGATTAATGCTGGTTCACAATCATTTCCATTCATTCACAATGGCTTGTGATTATGCAGAGATATAGCAAACCTGAAGAGTTTATTGTTTCATTCAAAGTTTTATAGTTCGAAAGTGTGGCTTGTGATCACTGTAGTAAGGTTCTGAAGGTGAACATTTAACTGTGTCACAGATTCTGGAAGTTTCGTTACGGCATACATCTATCTAGCCACTGGTCAATTGAAAAAACAGCTAATTGCAATCAACAGATGATGAGAAACGAGTTGCATATTAATGAGATAACAAGATGATCTATTAAGAGTTGCATAGAGATTGTCAGGGATATCAGTCATCTTTGTTAATAATTGAAAATTTCATCAAATAGAAAATCTTAATTCCCACAATAGCTGTTTATTCCAAATTTGCTAAATTGTCTTGCTAATGACATTGAGTTGAGTCAGCATCATTTTGAAGCCTCAATCAAAACAAGCGGCACACTAATTAGAGGAATGGGAATTCCTTGATTGACATTTTGAAACTGCAACAGCATAACCCCCAGTATCAGAACCAAAAACGTGTTGTTAGGCTGCAGCCAAATGGTCCACCCAATTCATCAACCCGTCTTGGTGAATCTGTGCCAACTTCCCTTTTGGCACGGCCAAAATAAAAATTTGCAAAATTGACTTGCTAATTACAGTGAGTCAACATCATTTCATAGCCGCAAGCAATAGAAAGCTGGACACTAATAAGAGAAAAACGGGAATTCTTCACATAGTATTCTGCTATGGAAATCACAGAGAACAGTTACTTTCTTGCTTCACTTACTTACTTACTTACTTGCTTACTTACTTGCTTACTTACTTTCTTGATTTTTGCCTATTTCTAAACAAAATCTACATGTGCAAAAATAAAAAATTGAGCCATATTGATTAAAGTACCTGTAAAACATTTGTAGAAAAAGTATCTTAGCACCAATTTGCGATGTCATGTTAAAATGAGGGATACTTGCTTTACGTTTGGGTGTCTAGAACTGCTAATTTTCCTCACCCTTATTTGGGAATATGCTAAATGTTTTGGTAGGTAATTTTTGGAGCAGCAATGGGCCTAATTTCAGTGGCCACTTTGTGATATATTGCAACAGAATTCAATGAATTATAATGTGTCATAATCATAAAATCCATCTTTTGCAATCAACTATGATGTTGTTTAGGAAACACAACATTCTTTTTGACGAAAAGAAGATGCCCAATGACTTCACAAAAGTGGTCTAAATTTTGATTGCCATGCTTTTTTCAATGCAGTCCCCATTACTTATTTGTCAAACCTGTGTAATACTTTTGCACAAAAAGTGTGAAAATGTTTATTGAACAGTTTCTTGTTTCTAGTTTTTTCTGATAATATAGTCATATAGGTAAAGTAAAAACGTTTTTCATTTAGCTTCCATGTTGTAAAAAATCTTCAGATGCATCATGCCCCCATTGTCATACCTGTCTAAAAGTCTTGGAGGAAGATAATTTCAAGAGGTTCAGGCAAGCAACAGGAGGATTTGCATTATTCTTCAGTTTTTCCATGGTATGTTTTGTTACATGTTACATCTCAAATGAATTTGTCCTTTTAGTTTCTTCCTGTCAGAATGTTAGAATCAAATAATAAAAATTTGTATTTGATATCAATATTCCTTCTTAAGATTTCAAAACCTTACATGTGTGGCTTATAAGTATATTTGATCATTTAATATCCATTGCTCAATCTTGAAATACAAGTCTTTCTTAATATTCAGTTTCTAGGGGTATACCTTGCCTTCAAGTTCCGCCATTTAAGGAATCCTACAGCAAATCCAAATCACTTTCTGTAGATGATGAAGAATTGTAATAGATGGTTTGTAAATTTTGTTTTTTCAAGACTGTTGTCAAAGAAATTGTTAAATGTGATTTGTTTTCATTGTCAGAACCAGATGACTATCAATTATTTTTTTAACAAATGTATCAGGATCAAAACTTGCCTTACTTTACGACACTGCCAATACATTGCACCCATAAAACTGTTTTAGAAAGAAAGCTATAAAACAGGGCCGTAAATCCGGGGGGGGGGACGGGAGGGACTGAACCCCCCCAAAAATCTGGAGCAAAACGATTTTTTTGGAGAAATTACCATCATTTTTCTTGGAAGAAAGAAATCCCTGGTAGCCGGGTTAGAACCAAACTACGTTTTCTCTGTTATTGCAACAAACCTCAGCCACTAAGGTTATTTTTGTAAGCAGAGTGGTTTTTATAATTTTTACAATATAAAAACTTACCGTTTTCTACCGTTTTTTACCGTTTTCTACTGTTTTCTACCGTTTTATTTCTGAAAACAGAGTATGAAATAAAAAGAGAGCAATCTGTCATTTTATTTGACCTATTTACTAACTTATTTACGTACGTTTCTATTATTTGTCTATTATTTACTTTTATTTAGTAAATCACTTTTTGTATCATTAAAATGTATTCATTTTTGATGTGTAAACATGGCCTACTGAAATCAGTCAAAATAAGGAAGACGCACATTTCTGTTCAGAAAGTAAATTTCTACCAATCAATACAACAGTGTCCCATCTTTCCCCAAAGTCTGTCTCTAAGGTTTAAGCATGACTCTCCCCCTCCAAAATTTCACCCAATAAACAATAATCTGTGTTCTTCTGAGAAACGCCAAACTTTCTATCCTGAGCGATTCTAGTATTTTATTAAATTTAGTCTGGGGGATGCTTCTAGAAGGTAAAATTTCAAAAATTTTCTTCCGCGTCGGACCCAACCATGGTGGGTCCTCCTACGAGAGTAAACTTGATTCTTAGCTCCCAAGGTTCAATTTCTTGGGGCCGTCTCTGAAAAATGTTATCCATCCAATTATACACACAAGTCAATGTACTAAGGAATATCTGTAAATACCTTCTATAGAGCAGAAAGTCTTGAGAAATCCAAAAATATTTACTTTTGTTTTCAAAGTAATTTGCCCCTCAACTGTTTTCATAACACATACCATAAATCCCTTGTGGTGCCATGACCCACTACATACTTTATATTCATTCGCTCTCATGACCCTTCCAATTCACATGACAGATTTACGGCCCTGCTATAAAATATTTCATGCATTCATTTAGGCCAAAAGTTTTTGGTGTAAATAGAAAAAGAATTGGAAACAGTTTGATTTTATTATGATTTTAATCCTTATATTTTCTGTCTTGTAGACCAATTCATTGTGCCACTCTTGGTTCATATTGGTTCTCCAAAAGCTTCAAGATATTGACCTGGGCTGCAATGAAGTGGACTTTTTGCATTGCTAAAGAAAAGAACCTGTGAATAATTTACCTAGGACCTCCTTTTTACAGACATGTTCCCTGTACTTAGTGAATTTTAGTTAATGTTCTGTAGAAATATCTATTTAAGTAAAATAAAAATTAATTTCCAATGGTGTCTTGGGTTCTTAGTAAAATGAAACAAAATTGCAGGAATACCCCAGTGAGGAGAGGTTGCAAAAAAGTTTGAATCAAATTTGTTGGTATTTAAAGAAGGGTTTTTTGCATTGCAACTTGGAAAATTTACTAGCAGTACCAATTCCTTTTAAAAATCAACAGAAAATCCTTTGCATTTAAAAATTATTCAGAGATATAACAGTTATGGATTTTTATACATAATTTACATACACCTTTCACATTGCTAAACCTCATAAAACCTTTTGACGTTTTTTGTTATATTTTGATTGTTGTATGTTTTAATAAGATTCTTACAACAGCCCTTGAATATTAACTTTAGCATGTTGTTTAGTCAAAATTAATTGTAATTGAATGCCAAATGATAGCATATGTTGCCTTCTTTGTTAAAATGTGATAAATTTTTCCAAAGCTTCTTTTGATAAGATCAGTTAGGGTCATTTAGAGGGCATTAATGAAGTATGTAGTAAAAGTCACCCCCAGAGTTTTGGTTCCTTGACCATCTAGCCTCCTTGGTACACTTATTTACTTTGTGCTGATCACCTCTTTGTGTATACACAAAATGCCTTACCTGTAAGTAGAAGACAGAATGTAACAAAAATGGGCCTCACAACCTTATGGTTGCATGCAGGGGGCGGAGAAAATTTATTGGCTGAGGGTCAGGACCAAAGTTAAATAGTAAGGCATGCCTAAGACATACGCTTCTAGGAGGTGTGGGAAATGCTCCCCAAAAATTTTTGAAAATTATGGTTGCTTAAACTGCTCTGGTGGCTATTTTGGTTGCTAAAATTGCTTTGTTGGCTAAACTGCGCTGGTGGTAGTGGCGTAGATAGAGGGGGTCAGAGGGAGCAAAACCCCCCTCCCCTATAGAGCTAACTGCTATTTTGTCGGAAAACCTCTGATCTTGACAAAAGTTTAACATGGTTGTCTATGTTTATCTAATTGCTATGTTTTGATGGAAAAAAATTGAAGCTAAATAAACATAAGAATGTTTAATATGTCGAAATATTTTTTTCAGTTCCGATGTCGTTATGTTATGTTAAAATTTATGAAAAGAATATAGGAGCTTGTTAGATTTTTGTCGGAAAATCCATGTTTCTCACCCCTCCTGAGAACTGAGAGACATAGAAAAAAATAGGTACCAGATGGTACGTTTTGATAACTTAAAATAGCAAACAGTGGGTTAGGTACAAGATTTTGGGACATTTAATGGAAGAGATTTAATTTATCACAAGTACATCGAATACTTTTGGCAACTGTTTATTCTGCTTCTTCCCAATCGCGCTGCTTCAATCAATCTCACACTTCTTAAATACGATCGAAAAACAATGTATGCCCTGCAATCAAATTTTTTGTAACATTCAGAAGCTTTTGAACTTCTTAAGTCCTAGCCAACAAAGATGAGAAATTCTAAGCAAAATTATATTTAACATTGAGGCAGTCAATGACTTCATGGACCTTTGTCATTATTGTCTCTAATATTATGTTATCTTAATGTTGATGGAGAGGCTCGATTATGACTAAGAAATTTTTTTCAATTGAGTTATTATTTATTATTCCTTTAACGGTTTTTAATTCTATCATCGCTTTTCAATTTTACTTGATAACGGGCTATGCTCGAAACGTCGTTATTTATTTTAAAAAACATTTTCCTGGTACAATTTACTTACATTGATCGTTATTATAGTATTATATTGTACCGCACGCATTTTAGTATATTTATTTTTTATGGGCCCCTAAAGTCAAGGGCCCCCGGGTCAGTGACCCCCCTGATCCCCCTCTCCTCAGCACTGGTTGCATGTCAAAAATTATACTGTACGTCTTTTAATGATTTAGCTGTTGGCTGTTCATTTTATGTGAGCATGCTATCCAAAAAGGTATGCCTATTCGAGGGAGAATGTGTACAGTTTTTTATTTGTGTTTGTTCTTTGAATTGATCAACAATTTTGCAATACAGTCCAACATTGAAACAGCAAAAATAGATTGTTAATTGGATACATGATAATTATTGCCTCAAGGACTGAGGGGGGGGGGGGCGTTCAAGTCTCATTCCGGAGTTTCACTTCACAAAACTGTTTAATACTTAATGATACTTAATATTTTTATTTTCCTTTAGTTTGTGTTTACTTTGAAATAATGACCCAAGAAAGTGGCAATGTCCTAATGAAAAATGAAATATTATAGAAAACCAAAAGGACTGAACCACAATTCAAAGGTTATTAGTAATAACTGATTTCTATTTTGTGATTTTAAAAGTGCAAAGCTGTGCCTGCTTCAAGCTGTAACTTCAATTTTTAGGCTTAGTGCCAGTGCCATCTTCTTGCAACTGATCTATGATTTATTTGATTCAAAAATTATGTAAGGTAGCTAGACTGTTGAAGGTATTTAAAAGTGACCACTTAGAGAGGAGCATGTTATCTAGGAGTCTTCGAAACTTTCTAAAATACGTTTTGTCTGACCAATAACATATTGAGAGCAACCATTGCAGACTTTGGAGGGATACCCTGGTGATGTTAGGAGGATATTCTCTTCCTGATAATACTCCAGTAGGGCCTTGTTTTATTTTCTTTTATTACAATGTCCCAAATACCTGCTTTTTCTGCAACTTTGCACAACATAAGAATAGTGTAACCCAATGTGAAAAAAGGTTTGTGCAAACAAAACTCTTTTCATTGCTATGCCTACAGAGCTGTGTGTAATTCCGAATCCATGTTTATAACTCTTCTGTAGCAGATTTAAAGTTTTATTTTTACTGACATCTTAAATGGGAACATTTATAATCTTGCACTGGTGGCCAGTGTGAGGTGCTTTTATTTGAATTGGATCAATCCCAATCTTACAAAGAGCCTCTAGCGTTGTACTTTAGCTAGAATGCTGTCACTCTTCTGTTTTCCTGTTTCTTTAAGTTAGGTATTTCATCAGTATCAGTTTTCTTCTAACATTCAACGTTTAAAATTTTTTTACACACTTCGAGCTACTAGAGTGACTGTTGCGAAGGAGCATAGAAAAGGGGCTCGGTCGATTCACTTCAATTCGCGCAAACAGAAGAACTGCAACGTGTTGGCAATCGTTTCACTTTGGTTGGTGGGATGTTTACGTTGAATAGGTCAAGTTGTTTGCCATTTTTCTAAAGAACAAGATTAGTTGCCATTTTCATGGCTGTGTTCTTGGTCGCTAAAACTGATGTTCAATGATTTCATCTTGAGAATCTTGCTGTTAACTGTCAATAGTGCACAAGGAAGCAAGTTGCAGTAGACATGGATCCCAACGGAGGCGTGCCGAACAAGTCACCATTGCACGCATCACAAACTGCAAGAGCCTACATGGCTGCTGCTCCTGTTGGTGCTGCCAGGAAGAAGCACCCAGGGAAAGCTATTATGGCAGGTAAATGTCAAACATAATATAACAGCAAAGTACAAAATTTTATTTGCTTTAAGGTTGAAAACAGTCCAAACAGGATATATCTATATGCATTGTTGTTGTACTTTTTAATCATTAAGCATCAAAACAAGCAGTTACAAAGCTACTTTTATTTTGTTCATTCACTGTCCGAAATAAATTCCGAAAACCTATTTTTGGTGAAGAATTTGTGTGTTTTAAATAAAGTTGCAAAAATAGACTTGCCTGCAGTAACATCATCCAGTTGTTTGCATGCACCTCGATGTAATTTTGTCTCTTAATGTGAAGATCATATCCATGCGTGTAAAAATAACACATAAAATTGATGTGTGGTCTAAAAAGGTATTCACGAATTTCTTACAACCCCTAATTTTGTCACTTGCTAATAGGCTTTTTCAGTCCAAATTGATGAGGTTAGCTCCCCCTTCAATTCAAATTATTTTTTAATTTGATTCTACATGGAGATAAAACCTTAATACAGGTAAGAAGTAGTTGACATAGACACAGGTTTAACCAGTGATTTAAGCATAAAATGATGTGAAGCTTGAAACCCACAAGTTAAAATTTATATGGATTCATGTGGATTCCACTCACATTGACTTGTATATTTTGGCATGTCAGCAATGAAGGAGTAGTTTCACACAAGTAAAGAAAGACCTTCTTTTATCTGCAGGTATTCTCAGAACAACACCCATGTTCGCTCTATCTCTTCTTTGGTCATGGTTAAAAGTGTAAAAAAGTTACTCAAACTAGATAAATGAATTTAGCTTTCAGCTATTTTGTTTACAACCTGGTATTGTCAAAGTATTCAAACAGTGATCAAATGGCTGACGTATTTATGATATTGTGTTGATAAAATATCCGATGAATGATGTAACATGTCACAAATGATATAGATACATGTAGTTTTTCTTTTTTTATAGGTGGTATTGCAGGTGGATTGGAGGTGTGCTGCACTTTCCCAACAGAATATGTTAAAACCCAGCTTCAACTAGATGCTCATGCTAGTGTTCCCAAATATACAGGTGTTATGAACTGTGCTGCGGTTACAGTGAAAGAACATGGATTCTTTGGACTCTATAGAGGAATTAGTTCACTTCTTTATGGATCAATACCAAAGGCATCAGTAAGGTAAATTCATAAATAAGAAAATCTGTCTTTTAAGCAAGTCAAAAATTTAAAAGCCAAAATTAGGTCTGTCAGACCCTTTGCATTTACCAAACTAATGGAAACTGTTGTTTCTATATTCATACCAGGGCAAGTCAAATTACTATATCATGTTGTCTGAAGTAACAATATTCTTGATCTGCAGAAACAAATTTCAACCACCTAATGATACCTACAGAGAAATGAGAAGCAAATCCACTGAGAAGCGACAAAACAAATGTTATACTTATTGTGTCTAGGAAATTGAAGCATGTGATAAAAATGTTACTGGGAAACATGATCATAAACTGATAGCAATAAACTGTTAGAAAAGATAAAGGTGGGCACAGAAATCCCTCTCAATAAGCTTTTGCAAGGGCTTTTCTCAAGCTTTAATGTTTGTCTCAGTAATCAGTTTATGTTACAACAAGTGTGCTTTATCTAAGCACACTTGTTGTAACACACCTCTCTGAGAAATATCTATTTTGAACTGCAGTCAAACAAGGGCCCTTCCCAAAAGATAACCCAGTTTGCAGGGTATGACCAATTTTGACTAGACCTTGGGTGTGCCAAAAACCCAGCACCTCAGGTATAGGTGCACAAAATCTGTCAAAAAGCTAGGTGTCCCAGCAATATCAATTTTTCCAGCAACCTTGTTCTTTGTTGCATTTTTTACTCCAAGGTTATTTTAAGAGGCAAGAACATTAATATGCAAAATTGATATGAAAATGGATGGTTTTGAAATTTTTTTGTTTAATGCCAGTTTATTAAAAAAATTATCATGGGCTTCAATGTTGCAAAGGCCTATTAGGCAAAATATGTTGAAAACATCGCAGCATCTTGTTACTCCACTTCAAAAATTAACACTACCATAGGCATACAAAGTTAAATGGGTAGTAATTAGATAGATAAATTTTTGCATTCATTTAGTTTCATTGACCCCTTTTAGATATTTTTGTTATACAAATTCAGCATGATTATAAACAGTAACCTAAAACATTTTTGACTATTTATCTATATTTCAAGGATGAAAAGCATGCTTTGAAATTTTTAGGTTTGCAACATATGAATACTTGAGAAACACATTTGCAGATGAAAAAGGGAAGATGTCACAAGTGCATACATTATTGTCTGGCCTAGGGGCAGGTGTAGCTGAAGCTATTGTTATTGTTTGTCCAATGGAAACAATAAAAGTCAAATTTATACATGATCAAACTCAGCCAAACCCAAAATATAAAGGATTTTTCAGTGGTGTATATACAATTGTGAAAACTGAAGGTAAGGATAAGTGTTTTTCGAACAAAGTTTTTCATTTATTCTACCAAGAAGTAACTGTTGTAGAGTTTACATTAACTTTTTGTAAGAATGAAATAGGATATATACAACAAAGCCCATGTATGTGTGGGTCTGATAAAAATTTCTGGACAATTGGGTTTTTTAATGCTTGATTAACCACTATTTTTGTAAAAAGTATTTGAGATTTAGATAAATCAAGAAACAATGCTGTACAAAGTCATGAGCAAAACAAATATTTTTTCATTAGCAATTTGACCTGTCAGCTGGGCAGCCCTCTATTTGCGAGGAAATACTTTTGCTGTTTTTAATGTTGTTGTCTCTTCTTGGCAAAACATATTTCTGTGAGGGCTTGTTTATAACTAATTGCTTGATTTTAGCAAACAGATAAATCGTCCAAAACAGAGAGTTTAGCATATGCTCTTGAACAAGCTGAAATAAACTGCAATTGTGCAATCATGCTCCAATCCTTGTAATATGAGGCGTGTGATTGCAGCCACACGCCTCTACACATGCCCAAATGGTCTGAGGCATGTGAAACAACACACATGCAGAGCAAGGCCTCTAAGTTTGAAAATATGTTCCAAAGATTTGTCATAATATAAAGACTGATGCTCCTGTCAAAAACTTTGAAACATTAATGGCCGCATATGTCTTTGGAGATGGACTGCTTGTGTTTCTAGCCCTGAAGTATAATTCTCAACCCAACTATGACACTTCACCTATTTTCATAAATGATTATTTATATCCTCTATATTTCTTTCTATTTTAGGAATACGCGGCACATATCAAGGACTGCTACCAACAATTTTGAAACAAGGGTCAAACCAAGCCATTAGATTTTTTGTCTTCAATAACCTAAAGGCCTATTTCCAAGGAGGTGATAATACTAAGGAGATTGGTCCTGTTAAGACTTTCTTTATTGGAGGTATTGCTGGAGCTGCTAGTGTTTTTGGTAACACTCCTATTGATGTTGTGAAAACTAGAATGCAGGTATAACGTATGAGTTTAGCTATGAATCTATTGGCTGAATGCCTGAATGTAATGTATTGGATTCTCATTGTGGGTTTATTGATTAAACCTCCTAATTTAATGCAGGATTGTTATAGAGTTGTTATAGGTGGAATAATCAGAGAGGTGAGATTAATTTTTCAAAGTATAGAAAAAAGGTGGGATTATTAGAGAGACAGGAATTGTAGAGAGGGTGGGAATACAAGAGAGAAAACAGTTACTAGTAGTTGTTTGAATACAATCCCCTCCAAGCAATTTTCCTCACACAATTTTTAATCATGTTTCTTTAACAGTTTTGACAATTCTTTTCATTTTAATAAGTTTTTGAACTGATAGGGGCAAATCATATTGGGGTCATGGGACCTGTTGCTCACAGCAATTTCACAAGATAAATATAGTCTTACATGAAGCAATCCAAGGTTTTCCAGCAATTACGGTACCAGAATGTAATTCTGCCCAATATTAGAAAAGTACATGTGAAACTCCTGCTGCCTAATTTGGTGCATACATGTTTGTATAACTATGATTTCGCTTTTGGATGTGAAAGTATAATTGTTTGTTTTCTTCTAGGGTCTTGAAGCACATAAATACAAAGGAATGGTTGACTGTATTGTGAGAACATGGAAAGAGGAGGGCGCAAGAGCGTAAGTCTATACTATCAAATCTTTGCTGTGAAAAATCATGGTTAATCTGTTGATAAACATCCTAAGCTTATTTGATGACAGAGCCAGCTGCCACAATCACAACTTATCACTTTCTCTTGTGCCTTATTTTTTATATTTCATATCTGAAGAACTTTCTTATAATCATCACCATTGCAAAGCGATTTAATGCTTCATGGCAAAAAACAACCACATTGCAATTTTTGGATGGTTTGAGCACCTTAATGCAATATTCTCTTGATTTTATCTTGTTCTTGATCTCAAAGTTTTAACTTGCCTCCTTTCCTACACAGATTCATTGTTTAGTTATTTTAGTAGCACAGGCTTTAAACATTATAAGTAGCCTTCAAGCTCCATTTTCTAAAAAATCTCTGTTGTTTATTTTTTGTTTCAAGTGCTTTTAAGGTTGAAAAGCACCTTTTCAAGTTTATAAGATATATATAGGCTACCAGGACAAAAGTATCCCAATATAGTCATAATAGCATAAAAAATGTCAGCAATTGTACAAACCCATAAATTAATGCTGAAATACTCCACAAGATGAGAGTCAAATTTTAGGAAATTTTGTAAGGATTTCAAATATCTAGAACAACCATGGTAACGTAAGAAATGAGGCAACTAAAAAAGTATTGTAATGGCAAAAACAAGAGGATTAGGCGACAAAGAACAAGTAGTTGTTAGACATTTAAGTAAAAAGGGCCTTTTGACAAGATATATTTCAAAAACTGTTGGATGCCATTATTCTACTGTCTCAAGAACTTTTAAAAATTGGACACTGAAGGAACAGTTAAAATACAAGAATAAGTGGCTATCCAAAAAAATTGATGTTAGGAGTGAATGGATGGTTACCCTAATAATGAAATGTCACAGATTTGACAAATTAAGTGTCATAGCAACTGTGATCGATTTTATCTTGGGGGGGGGGGGTAGAGTGTCAAAAAGACATGTAAAAAACATTTTATGGAAGTATGGTATTTGCAGCTATGTAAGAAAAAGAAAACCATTTGTTTCTTTAAAGAAGTAGTAGTAGCAGTAGTAGTAAACTAGATGTGAAAAATGAACTTTTGTTATTGATGATGCTCAACTGAGTGTGCCTAGAAAGTTGAAGGTGCTCAGTTGTCAAGCACCTGCTTTTTGCTCCTCACAAGGTCTGCTGATCCACGACGTCTTCCAAGGTCAAAACAAGATCTAATTTAAAGAGCGCATGAAGAATAGAGGAAAATCCCTGTGAATTTCATAAAAAACTCTATGAATCAATTCCAAAACAACTTTTCTCAGTTGTCAGAGCCAGTGACTACATGTGACTACTAAAATTCTAGTTTAAACCAAAAGTTATTGCAACTCTTAATTCTTGATTTTGAAAATCGAAAATGGAATATTTTAAATTACGTCTCCTTGAATTTCCTCTCTTATTTGCATGCCATTGGCTGATTAAACAATAGCTTGATAAGACAACAATGAAACTCATGGCGTGATCTGTCATTTAATCACCTTCGCAGATATTGAAACATTTTTGACCTGGTAGCAATATTGTACAAGTTTGAATTCATTTCTAATATTTGGTTTCCTTTATTATGCACCACATCTTTGTTTTTGCTGCTCAAATTTTGCACCAAAGCATTCTTGAAATGATTCCATGCCTAGCATTGAGTGGTCTTCTCCAAGCAAACAGCCTCAGAGTTACAGTCAACCAAATGAATTTCTGGTTTGGTAACAATATAAAGTTAATAATGTAGCCACAGTTGACTCTGCTTATAGTCACTGCACATAAAAAGACACTACCATTTATAGTCACATAAAATCTAGACCAAAATATGTCTAAATATCCATTATATCACAGCTTACTGTCACAAGCAGCACTTGATGGGACTGTAAATCGAGTCTTCTGTATAGGAAATAAGTAAGGTTAATCAGTTCACTCTCTGCTTGAAGACCCACTGTCAACCAACAACAAAGAGCATCTATAATTTAGAGTGGTATTATTTTTATCAACTTTTCCCTGTTCAATTTTGCGAATTTTTGAAAGGTAAGCATAACAAACAAATGGAACTGCTGTTGTCAGTTAGGCTGACGATTTGTAGTATGTGTTCTGACGTATAGATAGTTGCCAACTCTTGCCATGTCAGATTCGGCAGAGAAAAAGACAAAATATAACCATTTGCAAAGTTTGAAAACAGTTTGCATGATCAAAGCTATGACAATATGTGAAAATGCTTTTTTTAATCAGATATTCCATACAATCATGTCTTTGAATAAGCAAATTGCATGGAATTTGAAATTAATTTTAGAATACCAGCATTCTCTTCAAGAATCACACAACTGCACACTTTTTATTTTCTGACACAGAGGGGTGATGTTGATAAACTAGAGAAGACCTTGTAAAATAAAGAGGCTTCTAAGTTGGTTGACAATTTAAGCTGCTAGCTCTAAGTATGGTCATCATTGATTCTATGGCTAGGCCATAACATCACAACATATTGTTTGTTAATTTGGCAGCTTTCAACGCTCGTTCAAACATGTTGAGATGATCTCCTTGTTAGGTCAAAAATTCTCCTTTATTGTATTTTTATGCACATTTGTGCAACACCACCAAAAATATACTATTGTTTTTGGGGTCATACTTAGCTATTCTTTTTGGTAGACAAGCACATCAGTATCAAAACTTTCCAAGCTTTTCAATGCCAGATTCAAAATTTACCATTCGGCAACAACCTAGTTCATTGAAATCAGCAAATAATATCACCTTTGTTTCAATTGAAAATAGTGTTATGAATGTTTAACCTTATAAGCGATTTATCAAGAAGAAGCTATTGTTATCAGTGTAGCTAGATCTCATTGCTGCATCAATATCTATCTGCACATTGCAATAAGTTTATAGGCAAGTGTTTGAATGATGTAAACTGTATTGTATCTCATTTTTCAATTTGGGTCAACTTTTGTTTGGGTATACATTCTTTAATCTAATCTTTTTTTATTCTCCAGCTTTGGCTTAAATTTTTGTCCAACAGGTCCAAACTTGTTAATTTTTTTTCAGATTCCTGATTTCAACAACCAAATAATAATTCCATTCCAATTAGGGTATTTTACAAAATATATTTGTTTAGCCCAAAAACTAATTTTTTGCATCTTGTCTTTGTTTTGTAGGTTTTACAAAGGCACAGTGCCCCGTCTAGGCCGAGTGTGTTTTGATGTTGCTTTTACATTTACAATATATGAACAAACAATGAAATTATTGGATTTTGTTTGGAAAACCGATTAGTACTCTATAGTAAGTATTTGCATTTTTTTTATTTGCAAAATCATTCAAATTTTATCAAGAAGGTTCCAAAGCCTTTGCTTAAAGTGAACACAAGATCATCAAACACTGGTTGTCCATTTCTTCTTCTAAAACTTTTTATCTGATAAGAGGCCCCCTGGAAGTATTCGTCTTAGATATTACTGTTTTCTTTCAGATGGTGGAACAATAAAACAATGATATGAAACATTTTGTGATGTGACAGATAATGTTATTCTATTACATAGTATGTAATTGGTTTCTGAGTGAGTGTTAAATGCTTTTTATATATAGACTCTTCATTAGAAAGGCATATATGTGCTAGATTTGTCAGTTACTTAGTATACTTTTTGGAAAATATGGAGAGCTCCTTATTTCATTCAGTTAGAATTGACACAAAACTTTATTTTTAAAAATATTTCTTTTGCATAAACGATAGATGTTGTATTTTGTCTGATAATTATTGATATTGATGTCTGATAGCGAAAGTCTTACTTCAACAAGAAAGAAATCGTTTATTAAATGTATAATAATAAGTGCTTAAACTATATGTATTATGAAATGAAATAGTTACAATAAAGCAGTTCTTCACTTATCTGCACTTCATAATAAAGACTTTGGTGATCTGTCTAAAATGGCTATACCTAATTAAAAATTATATTTCGAAGTAAACCCAATTTTTTTATTTAAGCTAAGTCTTTTTACTTACTTGCTGTATAACTTCTGTGAACAGTAATTTCAAAATAAATCCTTTCAAAAATATTGAACAGTATCATACAAATTTCGATTAAAACTTTTGTAACACAAACATCAGAACAGGTTACAAAATAGGCACTCAAGCTGAAATGCATTTTGTTGAACATAAATTATGTTACCATTTCCTCTGGAAGTAATATTTAGGTAAGAACCCATTTATAAAGATTAAATTTTTTTCACATCAGGTTTCTTTAACAAAGGCAAATTTGAAACTACCTTGTTGAGAAAAAAATAAGAGAAAATATGTTTCATTGAGCATTACTTTTTAAAACAAATAATACTACTGCTCTTTAAAACACATACTGCTATTTTAATGGCAATTTGTAAATTAATCAATAAGCATCTATGTTGGAAAAACATTTTAGAAATTCTAGTTCTTTTGGGCGTTAACATTTTGCCAGTTTTTTAATGGCTAGCAACTTGAAATAATTTTAATTGAAATTATCATTGTTTGAAATGTTGCAAGTAACTGTAACAGTGAAGTAATTACTGTCATTCAAATTCTGGATTTTGACATGAGATTTTCTTGTGACGCTAATTATGTACTTTTTAGCTGAGTGTTAACTTGTGTTTTGGAGAGCCCTTCAGGCTTTTGAATCTTCCAGATGATTTATCTGAGAGGGTGTTTCATCTTAGGTTTTTGCCCATACATTGGGATGCCAATCTTGCTGCACAGGTTAAAGCCTTTAAGTGCCTGTGATTTTATGATTCAAAACTTTGCCTTTAAAGAATTAATTCCAACAAAGTTAGGTTACTAAAGATAGGGAAGCCAAGATTTTGTTTTTGATTTTGAATTTTTTTGATGAAAACTACAAGACAATTTAGAAATTGTGAAAGTTTATCACCTCATTTCTCCATTTTAGTTGTTTGTTATGTCTATACACCTGTTGGTAGATAGACATAAGCAATATGATATTAGCTTATCAAATGCAAATAGCTTTTTGTCATTGATATCTTTACATTAAACAGCTTTGTTTCTAAAACATATAGCTGTTTACATTTTATCAGGTTTGTTAAAAATTTAGGGTATTTAAGAAAATTTTGAAAATGTTAAGATAACTTATTTAGGAAATTTGTTCAGAGATAGATGTTCAGAGATAATTTATTAATTTTATATAAAGAAACCTAAAAGAAGTGTTTTGAAACAGTACATGCAAGCAAGTAAAAGAAGTTAATTTGGTAACAGTTTGTATTTTCCAGTTGGACTTTCAGGTTACTGCTTGCCCTTGTATTTACATATGAAAGATTTTCTATTCACAAATCAGTTGATTTTCAACATTGCTTCATTTTGAACAGTTTTCTAATGATACAGCAACATCTTCATCTGTTTCAACTCCAGTTTCCTCCTGTAAAAATGTTTTTGAATCAATTTCAAGCAAACAGATATTAAGTCTGTTTAAATAATTCTTAATTATAACATAACAAACAACATGTTTTACATACATGCATAAGACAAGATAGGGTCAAAGAAATTAAGAAATATTTCTCACCAGTAGTTGCTTTTTTGTCTTTGGGTATCCTTCCAGGATGCAGTTAAGTAGATCCATTGCCTAGAAAAGGTAACATCCTAAAACTTTAATTATGTTGAATAATAGGCATACCTAGTGTCTATCTCTTGTTGATTTTGCCATAGTCAAGGAGCATCTCAGCCTTGATGTATGTCAGGTCAAATAACAATATATCATAAAACCTAAATTTGTTTGTGGCACAAATGTTTCTAGAAGGTTGTGTTCAGTAAAAATAAAACCTCTTTATTATGATAAGCTTATAAATTTATTAAAATCTGAATCTGATAACGATAATCAATATTGTGTATCAAAGCATGTTTTTGATGCTAAAGAATGTTTTTATACTTTAAAGAATAGATTGTGATACATAATCTCAACAAATTTTACCATCCGCTTTCTTTTCTTCCAATGTTGGATATATTCTTTATTGTCTTTGTATATCTAGAACAGGCATAACAAATGTTGCAACAAATGCATGTAATAACAAAATACTTGCAGAAAGAAATGGTGAACAAATTGAATAAAGCATATAGCAGGGTTTTTATATGCCAATAAAAGAAAACCAGCAAGGATCTTGAAATGTAAAAAGGTCAGCTTCTTTCTTTCACAATATGGAAAATATGGAAAAGGTCAAACACAGGGAACAGTGAAGTTTGGCTTTGAGTTCATTTGACATACAATAACAAAAATTATAGCTCTTTTCAGCATTCCAAAAAAAGACCTCATTTCCCAAAATGTTTATGTGTTTTTGAAAAATCACTGCGTGTTCTAGGTTGGCTAAATCTTTCTTGTTATTAACTTAGCCTTCCTTCGTACTAACGTCCACCATTCCTGTAAGTAGATTTGACGGTCTGGATGTGAAAACTTGAAATATTAATTGTACCAATGTTTCATCAAAAAGACTTGTGTACCTTTTCTTTCACTTCAGGAGTTATACCATTACCCTCTAAAAAGAAGATTGGACATTAAGTTTACTGAATTTACAGTTTGTAAACTGTGCACATAGTAGAGGTAAAATTTATGTGAACAAATGGAACAGCAGCCCCCAAACTTTAAGAAGGTTTGGCAAAAATAAAATTTTTGGAAGTTTCAGGCTTCAATTCCTAAATATGTATACATCTTACTTAACAGCTAAGAACAGTCCATTTCTGTGCACAAAAGTACATCTCAGTTTTATAATCATTTTTTCGTCCTTAAGAATATATTATTTTTGCTGCTGCATCTTAGATTGTAGGCAACATTAATTCTGTGACTTTTATTAATGTTTTTATTGGAAGGCTGTTACAAAGTTGAAAGTTACAATGTCAACAGCCTATACAAACCTGACTCAATTTTTTTAATTCTTTTTTGCATTGATTGACACTTAAAAGAAAAAGTAAATGAATGTTTATCAAAAGATTTATGATTAAGGTAGTCTAGGAAATCAAACATCAAATTATCAAAAGATATAATAAAAACCAGCAATTGTTCATTTTGGTATGGTTCAGAGGATCTTAAAACAAAATGTTTGTTTTAATAGTGAATTTATCATTCACAAATTTTAATCATGATATCTTCATTAAATTTGGCATTTGATTCGTTAATGACTTGTATGATAAGTACCTCCTTTTCCAATTCCTCCAACCTTTCAGCTGCATCTTTAGTTGTCATCTGGTTATTCAAATTCCCTATAACTGTTAAGGTTTACAAATGTAAGAATAATATTTTCATGATAAGACAATTGATAACTATAAATTCCATAATTCTATGCTGGAAAATATAACTTCTATCTGGAGAATGTTTAAAAGGTAAATTCAAAAAGACTTTGGTTGAAATACATATATTGTATAGTAAAAATTATAGGCGTTGTTTAAATGGTTATGTGATCTAAATAGTTATCTCCTAGCAAACAAAGACAAGATTTTGTTAGAAATACAGCACAAGTTAAATAAAACCTTATTAATAATGAAACATAATTTTTCATAATGAATATAGATTTTCTTACCTGATTCTTGTGATTTACATTTTTGCCTCAATTTTGTTAGTTCGTCATTTAATTCAAAGATTTCTTGATCCATTGATTTCAACTCATTTTCATCATATTCTCCATACTGAGCCTAAAATTTAAAATCATTGATGGCAGTGGTAGCAAATTTCATTATAGTGAATTCAGATGAGTACCTAATTTCTGCCCACGGGACCATGGGAATCACTCTGTTTTACTCTATGTTTGTTGATGTGCAATAGAGAACTGACATCACCCTATTTTAACAAGAGGCAGGCATTAGCTTAGGGTGTATTCTTTCAAATGCAACAAAAATATTGTCCGATAATGATAAAACAAGACATTCCATAAATGCTCTAATTAGCCCCCTAGGGGCTTATTTATTTTTGATGTTTTTGGATGGGGTTATTTGAGGGAGGGCTTATTCAGAGGGGCTTATAAAATTATAGTAGACATCAAGAAGACATTATTGAAAGACCTCATATATCTTAGTAGAAATTTCTCTATTAACATTTAATTAATTATTACAAAAAGTATGAGTAATTCAATAATGGTAACTCAATAAAATACCAAAGGCAACCTCAGATGGCAACAGTCAACAAATCAATGGAGCCAATTTGAGGATTTATGGTAGCAGTGGGGGCTTATTGGAGGGGGGCTTATTGACAATTTGTTGCCATAAGGTGGGGGCTTATTTGAGGGGGGGGGCTTCTTGAGAATTTACAGTATGGATGAAAGCTCTTTAAAATAGTTCAACAATATATCGTGAAGCTACAAAATTCAGCTGTTACATGTGGATAAATTGCATGCAAATTATGAGCACTCTGACAATTTTTAAATGCTTATTTATTTGAGCATTGACTGACCTGCATTGGTGCATAAACCTTCTGCTTCCCATATGTTTTTTCATGAATAACTTTCTTCTCTGCCAGGCTTTCCAATGCTTTCACAACTGCCTGTTAAAGTTAGTGATATTTGATTGATATTTGCTTAGTAAAACTGGGTTTCATTTTTATAATTCTATACACAAAGTAAACACTTGCAAAATCCTTGTGACCTTTTTTACAAAAAGAACATTGCATCATATATTTATTACATGTATTACATCATATAGTGAGTCAGAAATAATAAAATTATGAATATTATTATCTTTTTCTTGACCTTTCTTTAGTAAAATGCGCACAGCTGAATTATCATTGCATTATAGATGAAAAACTACTCAAAGGAAAGTAATTTTCCAGAAAAAAAATCAAGGATGTAATTGCATATGGGTTGGGTGTTACCCAAAATTCACAATTTCCTCTAATGGGAGTTCCATCAAGAGTTATCTCTAACAAGTAGAGTATGCTGTTCCAAAGTTTAAAACTTCTAATTAGCTGAAATATTGAATAAATGGTTTTTTTAAAACAAAAGATATGATAGATCAAGAAGGTAGAATTTAAATGGGGGCAAACTCATAGCACAACCTTAATTAAGTAATCAGATATGATTTTTCCCACTATTCAAACAATAATTGCATTGCAAAGCAAGAGGAATACTTGCAGTTTTACCAAACTCTTTATGCATGTTGTTGAAAATATCAGCTGAAATTGAAAACAAGCATTAACTCGTTTTGCACGTTAGTCTATAGCATATTACCCATTTTATTAGACTCTGCAAGTTCTTGAAGAGAACGGACAAAATTCGTGGAGAGAATAACTTTTACATGCAGTCTAAAAAGAATTTTTAACAAAGAACAAAGTTACACTTACGATCCAATTGGGGACATGATAGCCATGTCTGTCAATTGACTGTTACAAATAACAATACAGTAGCATTGAATTCCACACAAAATGATTGTTTAGGTCAGAGAAGATTTTTAGGCCTGTTGGCACTATCTGGCTTTAATAAAAGAGGGTGTCGATCTAGCCCCAGCACAATAACTAAAAACAACAGACACGAGAAAGGCTTTTTTCATACTTGCGCTATATGGCCTATTCTGCTTGTTTAAGTAATCAAGCACTGCATCTGCAAAGAAACAAAATACTACTGATGATGGAAGATGAACAAAATACTTTGCGATTCATTAATAATATAAAATGCACCTGTGTTATGTTTACAACCTTAAGATTGATAGTGCAACTGACATACCAAAAGTGATTCAATTTGTTTTCATCATGCTTGTCATTGTATACATTACTGACCGTATAAGTATCCGCACTTTTTGGGAAAATGGGGAGTCACCATAAAAGGAGATAAATAAATAAATGTTTATGTTGATATTTTTGCTTGGTATCATCAAAACGTTTCACTTACCGTCGGGACTCTTTTTCTTACTCATGCCTGACTTTTGAAAATATAAAAACTAGGTTGCCAGAAATTTTGTAACATTTCTTTATTTTTGTGGAAGTTGGCAATTATTCTGTCGACAATATTTCCCGCTTTTTCTGGCTGCCTCCCAGGCCTCTGCTCAGCCTCCGCTGCATCTCAGTACTGTTTTGAAAAGGAGGTCGTGCTATCCATCTTTCTCTCTAATCAAGCATCCTCCGAAAATGGTAGGTGATAAAAACATCTATTGCTGGATCTTGATAGATCTTCTGCAAATAGCAATATATATGCCTTAGATCCTCATCCATCCAATTGCAAAAACAATTTTACTCAGTCTGTAGTTTTATTTTCCGGTTAAAGTAAGTTTTTGCATGAATGAGCTCCAGTTGCATTGGTTTACCAATCGGTGATTTGACTGCTGTAAATGATGAAAATTTTGTTGTATGAACATTAATACGTGTTTAAAACAACCGCATCGCTCTGATACAGCAGCTTTAGGGAAACTGACGCTTAAGGGAGTATTATATAATTTACTATTTGCTCTTTGGTCAAAGGATAGGCCTAACTGTACCCTAAAACTCGTTATTTTGTGTTTCAAAGTTTGAAATATTGAAGTGAAATTTAGTTTAACCACTAAATGGCCCCATAACTGCTAGAAAATTTCACCACTGGCTGTTTTTCTACGTTGATTACGCAAAGAGCGTCCTAACAAAGACAGTCCTAGAAGAAAATTATTAGGCCTCATTTTCTAAATGTGTGTTGTGGTGATATGTTAGTAGTTGTTAACTAGATGATAGGCAGGAGAACCTATCAAGTTAATCACTTTTTTCTTTTATATATATTTATACGTATAAAATAATAAGTTGAAGGTACTACTTGGCCAGAATTTGCTGCTGCATTTTACACTGCAGCAGCTGCAAATTCCATTTAAATGTACTGGAAACTCTAAATTTTAAAAAAGATGTAATTCATTACTTGATTTTCTCAACAACATGAAAATATCAATTTGGCAATTCCCTGGATAAACTTGCATTCTTGTCTCTTTAGTAACAATTTTTTTACAGGCCAAGCGTACCAGAAAGGTGGGGATTGTTGGTAAATATGGTACCCGTTATGGTGCCTCGCTTAGGAAGATGGCCAAAAAAATAGAAGTTAGCCAACATTCTAAATACACCTGTCACTTTTGTGGAAAGGTATGTATAAAATTGCAGGATAAACCATCAAAATCTGTGCTTTAAATGATGAATTGCACTGGGCAATGAAATAACATGATTATAAACATTGCATTTGTTCTGATAAAGCACAGATCCTTGTTATTTATATACACAGTTTAGTCTCACATTATTGAAGATCTAGATCTGCGGAAGAAGTTTAATGCTATTTGATTCATATCATGTCTTTTTATCAGACTATAAGTTTTTTCTTAATAGGCCAAATTGTCTCTTTTTCTTTCTCAATAATCATGAAAGAGAATTCTTATCAGATTTAAAGGCAATTTATATACAGTTGCAAAGATTGTTGTTGAAAGAAAAGGTTTTATTACAAATTTACCTACAGTTTGTCATAAGAAAGCCTAACAAAGACTTCTAACATTTTTGGTGAGGCAGTTGAGCAAGGTGTCTTGCAGCTCTTTAATGACATTTTAATATTTTGTCTGGAAATTTTGCAAGTGGAATGACATACCATTGCTGACCTAAGATAAAAAAGTTTCATTTTTAACTAAGCTGTGACAATCTGTATAGGAAGGTATTTAAATCATTTATTTTTTTAGATTATTGTTATCAATGAATTGTTTCTTTTCTCTTATTAATTTTCAAAGCCACTGAAATATTGTAACTGTTTTGTTCAAAGGATTCAATGAAGCGAACATGTGTTGGTATCTGGAAATGCAAATCATGTAGAAAAGTTGTTGCTGGTGGAGCATGGGCACCTTCGTAAGTGTTCAGATATAAGTTAAACCACATTGGCAATCCCATTTAGTGTCTAAGAATTTTAAAATTTTATGACAAATGATTTCAGCTTTTTCAGCCCTAATCTACACATGATGGTCTAGCCTTAGCTAAGAGATTTATTGATCAATCATCCAGTTTGCTTTTATTTTAAACAGCTCATATTCTGCATTTGATAAAGCTCTATGCTGAATCTTGAATAGTATAAAATGGTTATAGAGGGTATTATTTGTGTCTGTATTCGCAATAGTGTACTGATTTTTTGCTTGGTACAGAGTAACATAATGTTAAAAAGACGATCAATGTAATTATATTGTACCAGGAAAAACGTTTTGAGCATAGCCCGTTATCAAGTAATCTGCATAGCATCATATTGTACCGCACACATTTTAATATATTTATAGAATGTTAAAAGACCTGTAAGCAAGTGCTGTAAATGATGATACAGCACTGGGTTATGATTAACAGTGATTCATCATGTTTAATTGAATCTGATACAGCATTGCTTTATTTCAAAATAGGCCCATAACTTTCCTATGTCATTTGATCTAAACCAGACTGCTTTTTGAACACTACCTTCTTACCTTTTTATATGTATATGTCTCAATATTAACTAAGTTTTGGCTTTAGTTTTCAAACCTTAAATGTTATTGAACATCATCCCAAAATTTACAGAACTGCTTATATACTTCGATTGTTTGTTTTACCCTAGAACAACCGCTGCTGTAACTGTGAGAGGAGCAATTCGTCGTCTCCGGGAAATGGCAGAAACATAATGTTTCCAAACTATAAAATATGTTGTAAAATACCTACCAGTTGTCTGTTTTTTGACTTCTTCTTTTAAGTACACCAGGTTTCTTCCATCAAAAAAGGTGTGATAACATGCATGTCTGCTGTAAATGATGAAGATGTTTTTATGACAATCTCATGATAATAACTACCGCATCGCTCTGATACAGCAGCTTTGTCATTAAAAATGTGACAAAGAATATCATGTTGACATATGGTGTAGTTTGTGATTGATGAGTATTTAGGCAATGCTTTGAAATCTCAATGTGCACAAAATATTTTGAGGTCATTGTTAACAATGTCAAGAGGGTTTGAAACTAATGGGGAGAGCATAAGTTTTGCTGAAGGCACAACTTTATACTGAATAATTGGGATGTGGCCATGTCCAAGGGGGTACTCCAATAAAGGTCTGATGGGAGGTCCAGTAGATTCGAGGGTGTTACTAAAAGGTCCAGTTTCAATAATAACACAATGGCTTAGTTTAGCTTGCATTTTATCATAGAAATTAATACAATTTTATCTTCCCTGAATCAACATCAGTTCTGAAGCAACAAATATTTGTCCCTATGCTACCATTTGAGGGTTATTGTCAAATAGATTACCGTTTGGGGGCAATTCTTTGACCCTGATAGGACCCCCTAGAGTACCCTGCAGAAGCTACACACTTTTTTTATAAGAACAGGTAAATTTGAGTTTAGACTGATTGTTATTAATTTTTCCGAAAATCTGAATCTGGATTGTTCTTAATTTTTTCTAAAATTTATAGGGTGTAAGCAGTGCTATTTCTAGCTTTTCGTTCTGGGGAGGTGTTCAGGCCTCTTGCCAACAAAGTGCGTAGAGATAAACTTAATTTGCCGCCATGTTTTAATATTCACCGAAAAAGCACCCACACATGGCTGAAAATCCTCGTTTTTTGAGATAAAACGTTGTTCAAAATTTCATTTTATAGTAGCTCAGCCTCAGCTTGTTCTTAATTTGTTCTTAAATTTTGACCCATTTTGAGGCTCTTGTTCTTACAAAGTTGTTCTTATAAAAAAAGTGTATGTAATCTCAGTGGGGTCGAGGGTAAAGCCCTAAAAGCTCTAATACTTACAAGAAATTTGGCTAGAGGTACAACCAAATTCAAAAACGTCGCACAAAGTTAAAATTTACTGCAAAGTTTAAAGGCATTTACCAGATATGCTAAAGGGGAAATTTGATTTCAAAGCTAGTGCTTCTGACGATTGTGGAGATGGCAATGACCCCCAGTTTTTGAAGAACAGTAAACAAATTTTAAAGAACAATTTTAGGCATCTGCCCCCAGCACTACCCCAAAGCCTTGTTCCTGCCCGCAACTCTCCAATTTGCATTTGAGCCCATGAGTTACTTGAACTTTTTTGCCTGCACGAATCATTAAATATAGAAAGCACTTTTATAGAATGGAGCACGAGCTCAGCTGCAAATAGGTTCTTCACTTGGCCTCTAATTCTTAAAAGTTGGGGGCGGGTGCACCCGGGTCCTTATGTCAAACTCTCAATAATATCTCCAATGGCCACCATTACAATAAATGAAAACAAGAAAAGCAACCCCAGGACACCACCAAGGACCGTAGAGCATATTACAGATTTAAAGGGCTAAAAAGTTTTGGGGGCAGGGTTACATACGCTAAAAAACAAGAGCAGTGCGACTTTGGTATGACCAGATATTAAGTAGATTTTGGAAATTATTGGGGGGGGGGCTAAAGTCACCGTAGCCTCCCGCTTGTCCCTGGATACCATGTACCAACTTCCGCACACCTGTCAAAAAGTTGGCACAAACGTGCCCTTTGTCACAAAGTGATTTCTGGTACATATGTACCTATGCCACCTTCATTGCCGCACCACCTTCAACCTACACTGTTCTGAGGGTTTTTCGTTTGGTAGCCTGTACACACATCGCAATATCTGTAGGAACATCATGTATTGCAGACTAAATACCGTCATTCCACGGCTCGTTAAGGAAAAGGGTCTTACCAGACCGATTTTCAAGGTAAATCTATTCCCATTGACGATTCGATCAATTTACCATTTATTACATAACCTGTGGTGAGGCTTGGCCTACGTTATTACTTTTATCATTGTCGTTTGCGAAATATCAAGTTTCGGCCAAGCAATCTCTATCCCATCAAATGTTTTTCTTTCTCAATATTTGTTCCCATTGCTCAATTTCCTTCACGAGCAAATGCAACATCTGTAGGAACAGAAGTACATGCAATCAAATTTGGATGTACAACATAATTTTGAAAAGAAGGAGCAAAATTGTATGCATTCATCAGTACATGCAATCCAAATTGTAAAGAAAGGAGGATTTAACCACTCTTTTATAATGTATACTTCTTACATCACCTTTGGTTTTTGCAATTTCGCACACCTTTTCAGTTAAAAAGATCTATATATCTAAAATATTAATACATACATTAAGGTGGTAGGGTCTACCAGAGAAGACCATTCTTTTGGGATACTTGTGATTTTAGGCAAGAGAATGGCATTTCACAAATTTTTAAAAAGTCTAATGTGCTGTTTTGAAAATGGAAAGTGTGATACACCATTTGAAATTTGTAATAATTACGTATTTACATCTTGCATTCACTTCTTTTTGTGAACAAAAAAACCAGACATACACATCTTGTCTCTACTTTGTCATTATTAAGGCAAAAATTGGCTGTGTTTCAATTGTTACAGCCTATGCAGGACAAGATTTGCTTTGTGTCCAATCTGGAAAACAATTATGGTTTATTCAACCACTTAATTGGCTTTTGATTGCCATTTTCTGGCCTTTTCCTTTTAGGTGGGAATTACCCTTTACTTTTCCAACTCCATCTCGAAATCATTTGCACTTTTAACTAAATTCCTTTACACAAAATTTTACCTGCTGGAGACAAAGTATTAAAGTGCAGTACAAATACTGCGAGGCAAACAGAGGACTACTCAGCTCACTGGTCAAGCTGCTAATGAAACAATGATTGCTTGAACTTTGAAATTTTATAGATGCTACCAATTATTTTGAGCACTGAAATTCATTTTCCAGTATGCAAAGCATGTCCATTGTACACTGAAGATATTCTATAAATGAGGACATACCTAAAAACTAGATCTTTTTAATATATGCATATATGCTGTAAAAGATGCATACTGACTTTTGTACACCTGCACCTGAAGTTTAGGGCTGTTGGCACACCCTAAGATCTTGTCAAAATCCACAATACTCTACAAACTGAGGCATTTTTATCTCAAACACTTAGATCAAGACATTGTAGCCAGACCACCAACTCAGGTCCCATTCATACTATTTTTTCCAACAATACAGGTGGGGGTATGATCTGTTTTGGTTTTGGTTTCACTTTGCTTCATAAAGAAAATTGGTATATTTGAAGATAACTTTGAAATCTAATCAAAATTAAAATGGAACAAAATTCAAAATGCCAGTAATTATCGCAGTGGATCATTTTGGACCTGCAAAACAGCCAAACTGAGCTAAGAAATATGAACACTTATTGTTTTAGCAGCATTTTTCATCTGATTACAGTTTACCTTGAACTTGAAGCCTAGTTTGGAAAACTAATTTAATTATAAATACACAATGGAAAATGACCAATGTGGGTATAACATTGAATGCTCCTCAGGACCTTAAGGCCTTTCTTTATTCTTTATATAGGAGATCACTGGCCTTGTGGGAATTTTTTCATGAAAAGTAAAATTGTATATACAAAATGATGACTTGTACCCAAATCATTGGACAGAGTACCTGTTATGATACATAATGATCATTCAACTTCCTTTTCAAAGCAGCTCAACTTCAATATGCTCTGATAAACATTTTGCCATAACTGAAATATCCCACTGCCAGCCCTGACATTGATATCTGTTTTGCTTTGGTGAAAGTTCTAGTTCTGATGTCTAAATTTTAGGGATGTACGTACCAGGCAGTAGCACAATTACACAGGGAGCCTTTGCATCCAGAATGGGCAGAAAAGGCTAAAAAGGAAATAAAGGGTGCAGATCCAAATGAAAAACTCATGTGGAACACCCCTGAGGTAATTTTTTGTTATCTAATTTTCACCTGAAATTAAAAAGAGGTTTGTTTATGTTTCTGGTCCAAGTTGTGAACATAACTGGAATTACCATTTTTAAATCTTGGATGAAAGAAATCATAATTTAGCTGATTAATCAAATGTTGCTCATTTAGCTTTTTTAATGTGTCTTTTGTCTGTGCATATTGAGTTTGATAAAGGATAGCAGGTCAATTGTCTTGGAGAAAAGGTTGTTGTGAAGAAAGGACTCAATATACCTTTTATAAATAATATTCATAATAAAGTTTGCCTTCTGAATGTTTCAGGGTATTAAGGTAAAGCCACTGTATACTAAACGAGACACACAACATGCGGAAGAGGAGACCCCAGGGAGTTTTCCATTCACAAGAGGACCATATGCAACCATGTACACTCATCGACCTTGGACAATTCGTCAGGTATGACCGATACTGAAAGTTTCTGTTTTCCCTTTCAATGTCATGTAGATGGATGGATCAGAAAACCTTAAATATTACACATTTTTAATTGGTTTTCAATGCAGGATAGTACTACATCATATTTTCATTTTCTTGAAAAAACTTTTTACCTAAATGATGTAATATTTGTTGTTGTTCGGATGGAATGAGATGTTTTGGTTATGGCTGATTTGCTCATTATTCCTGTGGTGTTCTCAGAAGGAATTTAAAATCTTATCAAAAAAGTTAAGGCCTTATGCATGCGCTTCCTAGGTAATTGATACATACTTGTTGGATCTTGATACCTGAGATGCTGAAAGTATATTATAAACGTTTTGTTTCTGTTGTTCTTATCACCCTTTCACCTATTACAAATTTTGGAGACTCAAGCTTAATGCAGGGAATTATTGTCTTTGGTTGACATCTTATAATGTATGATGAATAACAATGAAAAGAGCACATAATCTCTGAAATGATGATTCTACAAAGATCCTTTATTTCTTAAAACACTGTTTTTTTCAAATGTTGCTTTTATTCTCTGATTTCATTTTTTGTAATAAAAGTATGCAGGATTCAGTACTGTGGAAGAAAGTAACAGGTTTTATAAAGAAAACATCAAAGCTGGCCAACAAGGATTGAGTGTAGCATTTGATCTTGCTACTCACAGGGGGTACGTTTTGTCACTTTTTGGGACTTTGATGCTATAAATTGTATTTTCAAATATTCTTTTCAAAAGTTTTCAGGTTTATCCTTATCTAAATGATTTTGAAGATCTGTGTTCAAAATTATTTTTGCTCAAAAATCTAAACTTATCTGCTAAAACAATGAGGTAGGAGAGCAGTAGGAACCATTTTTAGGTGCCATTATTGCTCTCACTCTTTAAACTCTTGCCCACAACTGAAACAGTAACATTCTTTCTTGCAACCTGTTGCAAATGGGAGACATTTCCTAATGAATGAAGGCATTGCATTAGATTGTTTCACAAAAACTTGACAAAAAGTTCTCAATCATGCATTTTATTTCTCAAGTACGATCCCAGCAAAGGATATATTTTTGCAAAATAGATAAATAAGATGTAATATATTGTGGAGTTTAACCCAACTGGTGAAACTTGAATTTCAAACACTAAAATCATTATAGTTGTTCTTGATAAGGACATGTAATATTTAGCAAGCAAACTTCGTTGGCACTTGAAAAGCTGAATCACATTATCTTTTCGATGTTTTCCAGTTATGATTCAGATAATCCACGGGTGCATGGCGATGTTGGAATGGCAGGGGTTGCTGTTGATTCAGTCGAGGACATGAAGGTATGTCGTGCTTAACTGCTATAACAAATGTACCTTAGTGCTTCTAGGACAGTGGCAATATACGTTTGCTACTTTGCTCATCTTTGTCCAGGTAATGCAGTTCTGTATTTGAAGTAAACATTGAGATAACCTGCGCAAGTGCGAGGATGGCTCAAAGGTTTGGGTTGCTGACTACAGATCTGAAGCTCTGGGGTTTGAGTTCCTGATGTGACCAAACTTTCACCCAGAGTGAGGAGAGTCACCAGCTCTGTGTATTTCCAGCAACAGGCATAGAAATCACATGGTGTGGCCATATCAAATGTAACGACTAGGACACTGCTCGAGAAGGGCAGCTTCTCAGTGCCCTAAAAACTACCATTAGATGCTTGTTGGGAATCCAATACAATGCAATGCAATGCAATGCAATAGCCGAATGTTACCAGTTGCATCTTATTTCTCTCAATTCTGTCTTGTGAAATTAGGTACTTGCCTCTGCTTTTTCACATGAGATGAGCCATGTCTCACTTTATCAGATTGCTTACTAACTAAAGCAATTAATTAAATGTATTTCTTGAATTGTAACCTGGGTACCATTTCACAACAAAAATACTGACATAGATTTCCATTCAGTAGATTTTTATATAGCAATTATTTAGCGATTTCTATACAGCTGTTTTCTGTTTATTACAGCAATTGTTTGATAGCATCCCGTTAGACAAGATGAGCGTTTCCATGACAATGAATGGCGCGGTATTGCCAGTATTAGCCATGTACATTGTAGCTGCAGAGGAACAAGTAAGTAAACACATCATTCATGCATTTTAGATCCTAGATGGCAAATGAAGCGAACAGTGAAGCAGGCGACAAGATGCTTGCTTTGCCTGTGCATTATCAGCAGATATTTTGAATGCACAATGCAGGAAGGTATATTTATCCGTATTACGTTCTTGCTCTTTCCCCTCGCATGTAGGTGCATTTGCCACCGGGTAAAGGCACGGGTGCCTAAAATGTCACATTCATTTTTTACGAACGTTCGAAAGTAAACTTTAAGAAGCTCAAAAAATAAAATCTGTAAATCTTAAGGTAAAGAGATCCCCATTTTATAATGGTTTTACCAGGTAGAGTTTTGTAGGACAATTTTCAAGCTAAATGTAAAGTTTCATTTTAGGGTGTGAGCCATGACAAGCTGTCCGGTACTATTCAGAATGATATATTGAAGGAATTTATGGTGCGAAATACATACATTTATCCTCCAGAGCCCTCAATGAGAATTGTTGGAGATATTTTTGAGTTCACATCGAAGGTTGGTAGCTTTCTGGCAATTTGTTTTTGTTCTTTTTTGTAATATGAAGTCTGTCTTTCAGTACGTGACAAAAAGGTAGCTTGTTATAAGTGAGCATGAAAATGCAGAGGAATTTCACATTGCAAAGTTGAACTAACCAATTTCAACTGTTCATCTGGTTTTGTGCTTAGGCTGGTTGAAGTGATAGAGAAGCAATGTTCAGTAGCCTTATATCAGTCTTTCTAGCCCTTTGACTTTCTTGTTATTTAACTTATTGTTATTTTACTTATTGACTACGTTCTCATTAAATTCTTATTTCCTTACAGTACATGCCTAAATACAACAGTATTTCTATATCTGGTTACCACATGCAAGAGGCAGGGGCTGATGCTATTCTTGAAATGGCATTTACGATTGCAGATGGTTTAGAGTATTGCAGAACAGGTACCACTGTCTAAGGAACAACTTTTATTCATTCTTACATGTAATACTTGCCAAAGCAGGCTCTCACCTAGAGGTATCATAATGTCTAATTTAGTTGCAGAAGTTGAAGGATAAGGGACTATCAGTTTAAATAGGGGTAGTTTCTGTCGCACATTTTAGGATTATTTTTATTTATCTTTGTTAGAGTTTTGTTAATTTATCCCCTATATCGATTATTATGTCGTTTGCGTTCTGTGTAAGTTTGATCGATTTCCTGATATTTAATCTTGATCTTTTAATTAGGAATCAAGGCTGGAATGGACATAGATAAATTTGCACCACGTCTTTCTTTCTTCTGGGGTGTTGGCATGAATTTTTATATGGAAATCGCAAAAATGAGAGCTGCTCGCCGACTTTGGGCTAATCTGATCAAGACGAAGTTCAACGCCAAGAACCCAAAATCCTTGCTGTTGAGGGCTCATTCACAAACGTCTGGGTGGTCATTGACTGAACAGGTAGATGAATTTGGAAATGATGGATATTTGCTCCAAAAAATTGCCTCTTAACGGCAGGCTTTGAGAAGTTTATATCTTCATTAAATTACATTCTTTTCGTTCCCTTTCGAACCATTCCATATAGTCATTGGTTTGAATTTTCAGCGGTGTTTGATATGCTTTCCTAAAACAACTTCTTGAATTCTTAAGGGGTCTCAAATCGTTGAAGATTTAGAGGAAAAATTTCAAATGTTAATTTTGAAGAAATTTGTCAGATAAACTTGATGACTGCAAGCCCTAGGGCTGGTTCTCTGCGGCGAAAGAGCTTCTAACCAGTATTTTGTTCAAGCACTCCCTGATAATTGGCATTTCAAGCCAAGAGCTACCTGTAGTACAATCCAATATCTCATCTTTCCTAAATACCTGCTACAAAACCTTAAAATTTTCTTTGTAATGATACCTGATGTTTGAATATATATTATCTTTAAGAATGTCACGAAGTGCTGAATTTTACAGAATGCTATTATAGTTAAAACCAGCAAATTGTAATATTTTTGACAGCAGTAAGGAAGCATCATCTATTGAATGCTTGGTACAAGCTATTAGAAAGTGTCTGTTTTAAAATCTCAACAATTTTTTGCCATATTCTTCTAGGACCCATACAATAACATCATCCGAACGACGATTGAGGCAATGGCAGCTGTGTTTGGAGGCACCCAGTCACTGCATACTAATTCGTTCGACGAGGCATTGGCATTGCCGTCAGTATTCAGTGCAAGGCTTGCAAGAAACACACAAATTATTCTGCAGTCGGAGTCTGGAATACCCAACGTAAGCAGAATTTTCAATAAAATGAAAGTCGATAAATGTTTGGGGCTGTTAGCAGCTCCCCTTGCCATTTCTAAAACTATGATCACAACAATTTCACGTTTTGTTCGCCTCTAACGAATATTTGAATCTATGTCTCATACATTAACAGACATTCACGCTCGATCGAAAGTTTCTTTTTCAAAAAGCGTTTTCAATTTTGAGTTGGCTACTATTTCATACATGCTTGCCTGTCTTTAGGTTGCAGACCCATGGGGCGGCTCATATATGATGGAAAGCCTTACTAATGAGATATATGAAGAAGCAAAGAAAGTCATAGATGAGGTAGAAGTGCTGTTGATTTTTTTTGCTGCAATTCGTAACACATTGTTAGTGTGCTTGCTACAATATTCTTATTCCTGTTGTCTGTTTCAGCGATAAATACATGGTGTCAAAATGGGCCCAACTTCCTTACACGCGTGGAGTTCAAAATTTACATTGCCATGAAAAATAAATATAGAGCATTAGTTATTTAGATTTTGCTGCTAGCAGTAATTTGAGAAATGGGCCAGTCTCAAAGATGGAATCCTGAACATTATACTTGTTTACCCATTTATTTTATCTACAACAAAAGCTTTATAGTGCGGGGAAGGATGATAGGTGATTTAAAACAGAATAGAAGAATGGTTATATATTAGAAATGACGGTATAATTGAAATGTACATATTTCCTTCAATAAAGATTGAAGAAATGGGAGGTATGGCAAAAGCTGTCGCATCAGGAATGCCAAAACTGCGTATCGAAGAATGTGCTGCTAAAAGGCAAGCACGAATCGATTCAGGCCAAGGTGGGGGCTCATTTTGTTTATTGTACCTAAATATTAAACGTATATTAAACGTGTATTAAACCTAATTTTATCTTCAGTTTTCGTATGGCTTCAGCATTGTTTGTAAGCCAGGGCAGAATAATCATAACTGGGCTTGAGAAGTTGAGTATAAGAGAAGAGATGTAATCTATTAAGTTTTAAACATATTACAGTTTTGCACAACAAGTTGATAGAGACTTTTGAAAACATAGTTTGGGTTTCTTTTCTTGCATTGCACGTAAACTATTTTTCTGGGTGGTCTCCAAGGCTATTGCCTGTGAACATTTTTATTAATTTATTTTTCAGAGGTCATTGTCGGCGTAAATAAGTACAAGCTGGCAAATGAAGATCCTGTCGATGTTCTTTGTGTAGACAACACGAAAGTACGAGAAAGCCAGGTAAACTGTTTTGTTCTTCGGCAGAATGTATCTGTTCATAATTCTGAAAAAATTCTGTTTACCGTTCCGTTTTATACTTACTGATGCCATACAGATGTTGTTCTTGATCGCATTTAGATTGAACCGTCCTGTTCTATTTACAAAACAGTGTACAGCTCTACATTTTACTATTCCATTTGTCGCATCTTTGTCATTCCAGTTTTTCCACGGTTTATAGTTATGGAGCTGCCTTTGTTTAAGTTGAAGTTTTGCTTTTTATAAAGTTTCAAGTATTGCTTCAATAGATTTGTCAGTATTGCACAATTCAACCTTGAGGTATCGCATGTTCTGGTGTCTAATTTTTCAACGTTTACCGGATTAAGAACTCTCTTTGTTTTAGTTTGTGTTTTGGAAATTGAAAAATTCAACCACCATCGAGCACAATTCAACCGATATGTTGTGACTTATCTAATTTGTTTATCTGAAGTCCATTTATTTTATCCAAGAACCGAATATGATTGCTTTTATGAATAAAGAAATTATTTTTTTCTCCAGGTTGCAAAATTACAACGCATTAGAGATACCAGAGATGCTGCAGCTGTACGTTGAAATTCATTTTTCAATATATTTTTTAATTAAAAACATTGACGAATAGATATTACATTTGTTGTTTATTGCGAGTTAAATTTTGTGAATTTTAGTTTTACTTAATTTAGATGCATTTTTATGCATATCAAGTAGTTATACTCTTTGGTAATTGTTATGTTTACTGTTTTTGTTGTTGTTGTTGTTGTTGTAATTGTTACGCACAATGAAGTTATCAGAAGGTCCTAATTTTCAGATAATCGAAAATTCATTTGCCATCCTCTTACTATAAATAATACTTCTGTCTTATAAGCCATTGGAGGAGAAATATTGAGAGTTGTTCGTTTATTTCTCCTCACCCTTGTAGCTGGGTATTGTGACCATCAGTTGAAAACCGTAAAAGTGATAAATGATAGTTAGGCTTAAAGCTCATACTTGAATTTACCATGGTGTCAAGAAATTTGACCGGTTTATCTAAAAAGATTCTTGACATACGTGTATGATATCCGTCCCATGATCTAAGAACAAGGGTAACTACGAATACTTTTCAAGCTTTTCTTTCAGGCCCGTGTTTCTACCTGGTCACATTTTTGTTGGCTGTAGCTTCTGTATGGTCACTTGTGGCTCTGGCATTACGTTACTGACCGTTCTTCCTATGTTTTATAGGCCAAGAAAGCCCTTGATGACATTACAGAGGCATGTGAAAGTAGCAGCGGAAATCTTCTTGATTTAGCAGTTAAGGTAAATAATCTTTGTGATTTGTTACCCATTTGGAGTGAACATCATCAAGATAAAATATATTCAAGACTTCTTGTAATGCTTTTGGCCGTCAGTCATTCGGTTTTTTTCATTATTTAGGCGTCCAGAGCAAGATGTACCGTTGGGGAAATCAGCGATGCCATGGAAAAAGTAAGATTGTCAATGATACTACCTTTATTTTCAATTACACGTCGTTTTATCTTTGTTTTTGGAGTCGCTTAAAATTTTGTAGCTTGGCTTAGGCCACGCGAACCTTTGGAAAGGCATTTATATACTTGAGTTATCCAGATACAAGGCTTTATTGTTGCAAAGCTTGAAATTTTTGTATTTTTGTTAAAGAAAACATAGACCTAAAGATAGGTTGGAATATCCCACAAGAATATATTGATTCGGAATTGCAGCCAAAATTCACGAAAAAAAGAAGCTACTTTTTGAACTCAAGTTTTGTTGACAATAACTGATTTATTATTCAACATTCAGTTAGTTTAAAATAGCAAAAACCTATTCATGCAGTTGTTTTTTGAAAAATAAATTTCGATTTGTTGATTAAACCGGTTAATTTTCTATTTTTCAGTTCTTAGCTCTTAATTTTCAACGAGTTTTTGAAGTTAATGCGATCGTCAAGCAACTTTGTTAACTCTTAAGAAATGTCTCAATTTTTTACAAAATCTCTGTAAAATTTTTAGGTCTACAAACGCCATGTAGCCAGTGATCGTATGGTGAGTGGTGCCTACAAAACAGAATATGGAGAAGCCAATGAAATTGAAGAAGTGGGCCACAGGATCAAAGTAGGTCTTTTTTTGTTCATCTGTCTGAGTGATGAAAGAATGCTTAATTATAGGCGCTATATGTTCTAGTGATTATATTAATATGAAATGCTACGAAGTTGTGAGGTTGGAAGGTGCAGTAGCTAAGATGCTAAGATGCCTATTGCCCTTCTCCTGTGGTCGCTGATTGAGGTGCCTCTTCGCTATAGTACCTCATTGTCAGTTTAATGCCATATTCCTAAAAAACTCTGTATATTGTTATGAAGTTGGCTAAATTTACTGCTATATTGGCGTCGAAATAAGCAAAGAGGAAAAAGGGAATGATCTGATGAAGGAATGAAGTATACATACCTGATTGGCTTCTTTAAAACTTTCCAATTTCTTAACCTTGGTTTAAGATTTCAGGTAGGGCTGTATCTGTAATGGCGTTATTATTTGCAGCAAATGTCAAAGTATAACGTAATAACATAGAGCAAAAATGTTTGCAGCCGCTGTGCAAAGAGCTTTTGCGCCTGCAAGCTGCGGCCAAATGGCGACGCGCAAAATTTTTCCCGCCAACCGACCATGTGACACTTTGATTCCGATCCAGGCCTCCTGGGAGGTGCAATGTTATAGGGTTTTGTGTCACCACAACCACAAAAGACCTGAGCATGGCGGAGTGAACTTAAAGCCTGATCGGCTCATTTTATATACAAAATTTTACCATGTGAGTATGCCTCAAATATTGTCAGTTCCACGGAGAAAAAGTTCAAAATTCAAATTTATTTTATCTCAAAAACGGCACCATGCCGCACGCTGATTTTTTTATTGATTTATCTTCATGCCCCGAAAAATAAGATTATATTGGTTGGCATATTTGGAAAATTGGGTCACGTTCATAATTTCACCGCAAAGATACCTAACTTTAGGATTGTCAATTTATGGGTGCGATTGAATGATGATTTAAAACCGCCATACTTTTTGGGATATGCGGTATATTCATGGAAGTTTTTCATTAAAATAGATTGGTCACGAATGTAAGTAGCTGTTTTTAACGCGATTTTGAAATCGCTTCGGTATTTTTCTATAAGAGTAGGAAACCAAACAAAAGCGAAATTTTGAAAGGTCAACATGGGAAGTTTTGTTCGATATTTGAATTAACGATCGTGAAAAATTTCCACCATGCCGCATCCTGAATTTTGTATACTTGTAGTCAAAAGTTCAATTTTTTTGTATATTGTCTCCTTCAGAGGCGGAAAATTGGGTAACGCTTGAAAATTTACTTTTTAAATTGTTCATATTTCCCTTCTTGCCTAATAGTAGGCCTAGGCATAGGATACTTTAGTTTGGCAGTAAAGCATAGGCCACGAAGAGATTAATAAGGTTTTAAAGCCATAATTTAATGATATAAATGTATCTTAAGTAGATAATTTATCTATTTGACTCCATAAAAATAAAGCAGAGGTAAGGTTAAAATTCAAAGTTTGTTTTCTCATATATTTTTATATCAATCGCATCCGGGACAGAACGACACAATTTTCGCGGGCAGGTAAATCACGTCAGCATGCGCGCGCATAAAAAACATTTTTGCACTATGTTGATAAATGCTGCTTTCCCTGAAGAGGTAGAGCAAATTTTCGCTTAAGAAGGGAGCGATAATGAGAGCAGCGATGAAAGCGAGGATGAAGAATCTAGTGACAGTGATGAAGACTTTTTATGAAGCGCAGGTACGATCCCTTTTGTACTTTTAGCCACATTTTAGGCAATCAAACACCTGATGTAACCCCCGTCTTCACAATCTTAGCCCCCCCCCCGATTCCTATAACTTGCTGCTACTTTGTAGAATAAACAAAAAGGCATCAAAGCAGTGTTCAAAATGGTATAAAATGATGTTTAACACCGAGAAAGATATGTTTTTGCGAAATAATTGATTACCATAATTGCTTTCATTTTTAAGCGTCGAACGAAGAGTTCAAGTGAATTTTGTTCCACTTTTCCGAGGTATTTTGAACATTATTTCTTCCTTGTACTCATATTGTAACTTTCTAAAAGTATTATCAGTCATTCTATCAGTTCAATTTTGCGTAGACAC